ACAAACACAAGTTTAGCTTGTCATTTTTCATTATAAGTTGTTACCATTTTAGCTTGTCTTCAATAAAGCTAGTAATCTTTTTAGACCTTAGATTTCCACAATTTTAGCTAATCGTCATTATATCTAGCCATTATTTTAGCTTCTCGCATTATATCGAGTCAATATTTAAACTTGTCAGAATTGTTAAAAAATGTCATTATAGCGGGTTATTCATTATCTTGTCGAAAATTAATCTTAAAGTCACTTTACAGGCCATGAATTTTAGCTTTTCGTAATTATATTAAGCCATTATTTCAGCTTGTCATAATTGTTAAAAAAATGTCGCTATTATAGCTTGTCATTTTTTTATTTTGTCCAAAATTGGTCTAAAAGTCACCTAACATGTCATTTTGAGATGACACAAGTACAGCTTTTTGTCATTATTTTAGCTTTTCGTCATTTTAGCTAGTCATTTTATTTATCTAGTTAAAAATTGATCTAAAAGTTATTTTACACGTCATCACTTTAGCTTTAAAGCTGACAAACACAAGTTTAGCTTGTCATTTGTCATTATAAGTTGTTACCATTTTAGCTTGTCGTCAATAAAGCTAGGAATCTTGTTAGACCTTAGATTTCCACAATTTTAGCTAATCGTCATTATATCTATCCATTATTTTAGCTTCTCGTCATTATTTTAGCTAGTCAATATTTAAACTTGTCATAATTGTTAAAAAATATCATTATAGCGGGTTATTCATTATCTTGTCGAAAATTAATCCAAAAGTCACTTTACAGGCCATGAATTTTAGTTTTTCGTAATTATGTCCAGTCATTATTTCAGCTTGTCATAATTGTTAAAAAAATGTCGCTATTATAGCTTGTCATTTTTTTATTTTGTACAAAATTGGTCTAAAAGTCACCTAACATGTCATTTTGAGATGACACAAGTTTAGATTGTCATTATTTTAACTTTTCGTCATTTTAGCTAGTGATTTTATTTATCTTGTTAAAAATTTAACACGTCATCACTTAAGCTTTAAAGCTGACAAACACAAGTTTAGCTTGTCATTTGTCATTATAAGTTGTTACCATTTTAGCTTGTCATCAATAAAGCTAGTAATCTTTTTAGACCTTAGATTTCCACAATTTTAGCTGATCGTCATTATATCTAGTCATTACTTTAGCTTCCCGTCATTATATCGAGTCGTTATTTTAGCTTGTCGATATCAAACGAAAAGCTAGAATTATAATGGAAATGTGTGTGTAAGTATAGAATCAAAGAAAAAGGGGTTGTGTCATTGTTGAAGGATTTGAACTGTGTAATATCAACAATATTTATTTGCCATATCCTTGTGTGAACAGTCCACATATGAAAGGTTTTATAGATTGTAAACATGTCGTATCTTGTGTAGGTAGTGGAGATGCGTTCAATAAAAATGCGTCAAACGTTTTCCACACAACGAAGATTGTCTCGACAAATCACAAATTCATGGTGAAAATCGTTAAAGAAAATTGATGCCACCTACTGTAAGAAAAATAGTGAGCCACCAAAGAAAAATACACTTGTTATATGGCTTTTGGCTTTTCATAAAACCGCATGACAAATTAAAGACGGCAACGCTTCAAATACCCTTATTCTTACGAACGGTGTTCGTTATTCCTCTTCCACCTATGTGTCGTCTACCTTTAACGTCGTCGTTATTATTATTGTTATTGAAGAAGAGAGAGGCATGCAAAGCTATATTGCTTTTTTGTATCCGACTTAGAATTGTCGCAAAGACGTGAATGTAGTAACAACTTACTTCATGCACTTCATTTTTTACTTTATGTATATTTATATATTTTAATAATACACTTTGACTTCCCCATCTGCTCTTCAAGAAAATATTTTTACTTCCATTCAATTTTACATTATTATTAAATTTTTATTCAGCCAGCCCAACCATTAAATTTTGATAAACTATAGTCAAAAAGACTTAATTCAGGAGGAGTATCTCTCGTACGTTTTAAATACGAATAAATTTACCTGATGTTTATTATATTATTAATACTGCGTACCTATAAGTTATTTTTAATTGACAAATCCAATTGAAAATCAATTTGTTTTTTTGATCTATTAATTAATGACAAATGGTTGTTATCTCAAAATAGTGATGACGTGTAAAGTGACTTTTAGATCAATTTTTAACAAGATAAATAAAATGACGAAAATAATGACAACAAGCTTAACTTGTGTCATCTCAAAATAGGTGACTTTTAGACCAATTTTGGACAAAATAAAAAAATGACAAGCTATAATAGCGACATTTTTTTAACAATTATGACAAGCTGAATATAATTACGAACAGCTAAAATTCATGACCTGTAAAGTGACTTTTGGATCGATTTTCGACAAGATAATAAATAACCAGCTATAATGACATTTTGTAACAATTATGACAAGTTTAAATATTGCCTAGCTAAAATAATGACTCGATATAATGACGGAAAGCTAAAATTGTGTAAATCTAAAGCCTAACAAAATTACTAGCTTTATTGACAAGCTAAAATGGTAAGAACTTATAATGACAAATGACATGCTAAACTTCTGTTTGTTAGCTTTAAAGCTAAAGTGATGACGTGTAAAATGACTTTTAGATCAATTTTTAACAAGATAAATAAAATGACTAGCTAAAATGACGAAAAGCCAAAATAATGACTAGATATAATGACGATCAGCTAAAATTGTGTAAATCTAAAGCCTAACAAAATCACTACCTTTATTGACGACAAGCTAAACTTGTGTTTGTTAGCTTTAAAGCTAAAGTGATGACGAAAAGCTAAAATAATGACAACAAGCTAAACTTGTGTCATCTAAAATGACATGTTAGGTGACTTTTAGACCAATTTTGGACAAAATAAAAAAAATGACAAGCTATAACTATATATAATAGCGACATTTTTTAACAATTATGACAAGCTGAAATAATGACTGAATATAATTACGAAAAGCTAAAATTCTTGGCCTGTAAAATGACTTTCGGATTAATTTTCGACAAGATAATGAATAACCTGCTATAATGACATTTTTTAACAATTATGACAAGTTTAAATATTGACTAGCTAAAATAATGACTCTATATAATGACGAGAAGCTAAAATAATGACTGGATATAATGACGATCAGCTAAAATTGTGGAAATCTAAAGCCTAAAAAAATTACTGGCTTTATTGACGACAAGCTAAAATGGTAACAACTTATAATGACAAATGACAAGCTAAACTTGTGTTTGTTAGCATTAAAGCTAAAGTGATGACGTGTAAAATGACTTTTAGATCAATTTTTAACAAGATAAATAAAATTACGAAAAGCTAAAATAATGACAACAAGCTAAACTTGTGTCATCTCAAAATGACATGTTAGGTGGCTTTTAGACCAATTTTTTACAAAATAAAAAATGACTAGTTATAATAGCGACATTTTTTAACAATTATGACAAGCTGAAATAATTACTGGACATAATTACGAACAGCTAAAATTGTGGCAATCTAAAATGACGATCTAAAATTTTAGAAAAAAAATTAGCTATATTGACGACGAGCTAAAATGATGACAACTTATGACAAATGAGGAGCTAAACTTGTGTTTGTGATGACGTGTAAAGTGACTTTATGTATATTTATATATTTTAATAATACATTTTGACATCCTCATCTTCTCTTCAAGACAATATTTTTTGTGCTATTCAATTTTACATTGTCAATAAGACTAAATACAGGAGGAGTATAGTATTTAAACTACATTAAATTATGTTTATTATATTATTAATACTGTAAGTTATTTTAAATTGACAAATCCAAATGAAAATCAATTTGATTTTTGATAGATTGGTACGATTTTAATTTCGACGATTCACCTACAAATATTTCATTTTTCTTTTTTCTATATTTTCTTGTGTGTTAAAAATGCGGGCCGCACATTTGGAATTTAATCGAAACCGAAATATTATTAACGAACGATTCCAACCCAAATCGCCGCGAGCGGTTTTAATATATCGCGCATTAACAAAAACTCAATATTAATATTACTTCTCAGTTTTTGCCCGGAAGTATTTTTTATTAACTGCAAATTCATTTGAGTATATATAGACAAGCTAAACTGATGACAATTTTTCGATAACTATTAAAATATACTTAATTCCATGTAAAATGCTGCTCGGGCACTTAGCGGTTCATTAAAAGGTTACTTATGGGTTATATTTAGAGCACGTGTTAATTCTGGCTGAATGGCGACAGGAAATTGTGTGGCTAAGAACACACACCGGGGCAAATATCCTGAGATTTGTTTTGATGGATTATTCGTTTTATGACGAGCTTTTCAAATTTCCCTTTCTTACACCTGGCAAACGAACCGCACCGAACAAAGGATCCTTTTATACTTTACATAAAACAACGGCGAGGCGGCCAAAAAAATCAATTTTTGTTTTATTTTTTTGAATTCCTAACAGTGTAATTATAGTTCCTATTCAATTATCCTGCCATTATCCTTAAAAGTAATCCTTTATAAATTGTTTTATTAATTATCCTGTGTGTATTGATTTGATGGGGTTGATAAATCAAACATCACAAATTTAATAGACAACATAGTGCGAGAAACGGATAATGTTCGGCGGTAATTAAAGGAGCATGGCTGGAGATTATAACATTGACATGATTGCCAGGGATATGTCTGAACGGATGAGATGACAAGAAAATTTCGTATATAGCGGGGGAATTATTTATTAGCCTTATGGCTAATCCCAACTTAGCTACTTAGTCTTTAAGATATTTCAAAATTTAATAACATTTGATAATAGTGATAGCGGCTGCGAATAAAACAACAAAAAATACACGAACAAAGTTTTGTATGATCCCGGGCCAATCTGGCTGAGAACTTAATCCATTTGTGTAATGGGATTTTTTGTTTCGTATGATTTACGAGGAAAAAATGTACGGACAGGATTTAATCGAATCGAAAAATACATGTGATATTACTGTTTCAGGTGGTTGTGGAGTCGTCGACTTCGGCTTTGGAATACGGCGACTTGAAAGTGGAAGAAGGTTCTCCAGTTAATCCAGATTTGCACTTTGACTCCCAACTGATGCATCTGTACGTTATGACGGAACGAAAGGTGAGATATAAAATTTTACCACAGTAATTACATATTGATATTCCTTTAAAGCAACTTACACTTGTACGCATACATACAGCTAACACGAAATAAATAGATTTTTTCCATTTTACCTCCCAGTTTAGCTTTTATCATCTATTATTAAACCTTTTGATTATTGTTGTTGGAAATACTTGCATCTTGATTTAATAAAATGATCACTAACAAAAATAAACAAATTTTAAAAGGACGACCAGAATGACTAGGTATCACAAAACTAAGCTAAAATGATGACGTGTCAAGTTACTTTTAGATATTATGACGACCAGCTAAAATTGTGACAATCTTAATTAATAATAATCCAAAAAGACGACAATCTATAATGACGAACAGCTAAAATGGTGACAACTTATAATGACGTGTTACAATTTAAAAAATGACTAGCTATATTAACTAAATTTTTTTAACAATTATGACAAGCTAAAATAATGACCACAAGCCAAATAATGCCGACAAACTCAAATATTGACAACTTATAATGACAGGCTCAACTTGTGTCATCTCAAAATGACGACAAGCTAAAGTAATAACATGTAGAATAAGTTTTAGATCAATTTTTGACAAAATACTAGCCATAATAACATTTTTTAACAATTATGACAAGCTGAAATAATGACTTAATATAATGACGAGAAGCTAAAATTATGACTAGATATAATTACAATTAGCTGAAATTGTGAAAATCTAAAATGATGGAAAGCCTAAAAAAATTTCGAGCCATATTGACAAGCTAAAAACTTATAATGTGACTTTTAGATTAATTTTTAACAACATTTTATTTGACTGGCTAAAATGACAAAAAGTTCAAATAATGACAAGCTAAAATAGTGCTAACTTATAATGACAATGACAAGCTGAACTTGTGTCATCTCAAAATGACGTGTAAAGTGACTTTTAAACCAATTTTTGACAAAATTAAAAAATGACTAGCTGTGATAACGACATTTTTGAACAATTATGACAAGCTGAAATAATGACTATATATATAATATAATTACGAACAGCTAAAATTGATGACGTGTAAAGTGATTTTTAGATCAATTTTCGACGAGATAAAAAATGACCAGCTATAATAACGACATTTTTTTAACAATTATAAGAAGCTGAAATAATTACTAGCTAAAATAATGACTAGATATAATTACGATCAGCTAAAATTGTAGAAATCTAAAATGAGTGAAAGTCTAAAAAAAATTACTAGCTATATTGACGACAAGCTAAAATGGTATTATTAGCTTATAATGACAAATGACTAGCTAAACTTGTGTTTGTCATCTCAAAATGACAACAAGCTAAAGTGATGACGTGTAAAGTGACTTTTAGATCAATTTTTAACAAGATAAATAAAATGACCAGCTAAAATAATGACAACAATCTAAAATTGTTATACCTTGTAATGATAAATGACAATCTAAACTTGTTTCATTTCAAAATGACGTGTTAAGTGACTTTTAGACCAATTTTTGACAAAATAAAAAAATGACGAGCCATAATAACGACATTTTTTAACAATTATGACAAGCTGAAATAATGACTGGATATAATTACGAACATCTAAAATTGATGACGTGTAAAGTGACTTTTAGATCAATTTCTGACAAGATAAATGACCAGCTATAATGACATTTTTTAATAATTATGACAAGTTTAAATAATGACTAGCTAAAATAATGACTCGATATAATGACGAGAAGCTAAAATAATGACTAGATATAATGACGATCAGCTAAAATTGTGGAAATCTAAAGCCTAAAAATATTACTAGCTTTATTGACGACAAGCTAATATGGTAACAACTTATAATGACAAATGACAAGCTAAAGTGATGACGTGTAAAATGACGAAAATATAAAATAATGACAAATGACAAGCTAAACCTGTGTCATCTCAAAATGACGTGTAAAGTGACTTTTAGATCAATTTTTGACAAAATAAAAAAATTAATAGCTATAATAGCGACATTTTTTTAACAATTATGACAAGCTGAAATAATTACTGGACATAATTACAAACAGCTAAAATTGTTGCAATCTAAAATCTTAAAAAAATGACTAGCTAAAGTTATGACGTGTAAAGTAAGTAACTTTTAGATCAATTATAATCATAATGACGACATTTTTTAACAATTATGACAAGCTAAAATAATGACTAGCTATAATGACATGTTTTAATAATTAAGAGCTTAAATAGAGACAAGTTAAAATGACGTATAAGCTAAAATGATGTTAGGTTTCAATAATTTTGGATTTAAGGCTTTTTTTTGTAATCTTGAACACTAGTGTGTAATTTATTTAGAAATGCAATCGAAAATATTAATAGAGAGAAAATACTACGCGATAAAATTTTTATGTAAATATGGTTTTAGAGTAGTAAATATCTTAAAAATAAATCATAACTTTTAGAGTCCTATATATTCTTGTAAATGTTTTAAGCGCGACAGAAGGATATATGTAATATTGCACTTTTCTCCTTTAGAAGTCGTAAAATTCGAAAAACATAAAAATATACCGAGAAAGCCGAAAAAAACCATAGCGGAAGACTTTAAAAGAAAATGTAAATACATTTGATGTCAACAAAAAACCATGCTGGCCACTAAATCTCTAATGAAAAATTGCCATCTTGCTTTTATTTAATTTCCTTTTGTATTTTGCAGCGAAACAATAATAAAATCCAGACAAGTTGCCCGACTGTTAAATATTAACGTTTTTTTTTCTCTCTAACGGCAATGAAACTCAATTTCAAATCTCGTTTAAATATTTTACTCAACTACTACATTAATTTTGCGAATATACATTTTTCGTTTCAACCTTTTCAGCTTATTTGCGGAATGTTACAAATTAATTTTTGTTGAAAACGCATTTCCCTGTAAGTTCAACCATTAATATAATAAAAGGATATTTTAATAAAACATAGGTAAGTAAAGCAGCCGTAAAAATGTTCAATATTTTTCATTATTATCACCCGAGATATAAAAGCTAACAAAGCAATTTCGAAAATTTTCATTTTATTGTTCAATAACGGAAACGAACTAATGGATAAGACGCGTACTTAAGAAAAGCGAAAACGAAAATAATGGCTAATTTTCATTGAAACACAAAACAATTATACAATTATAAAATGGTTATTAATGTAAGCTTTGTACGTATACAATTTTTAATAAAATGAATTATTTTGTTAATATAAGTTATATTTATTAACTTTTTCTACTCCCACCTTTAAAACGCCCTTTATCGTACATGTTTCCATGACACTAAGTGACCTTTTAAATACACATTGACAAGTTGTGGCTGAAGTTAGCAACAGGTTTTTAGTCACGGGCTGAAGTTAGTTGACAGTTGTCAAATGTCATACAATCGTTAAAATAAAGTGCCCATCTTGTAAAATAATACTAAATGTGAAAATTATTTTATTATCTCAATACAAAAATACAAAATAGTTTCTCAACGCCAATATTTGAAAAGTTTATATGAACATTGTACTGACCTTTTAAATTCGGGCACGGACTCCACTGTAAAGTGGTCATAAAACATTTTCTTTACTTTCCCTGTAAAAAACTGTCAATTTTCAAGAAATACATTTCGATTTATAACCTTTATATTCTGTGTTTATAAAATACAAAAATTTGACATTTGACGGTGACACACAGATTCCCCTATTGTTTCATAGATGGCGCTCTATACAAATTTTTGATTTAAATTATTTGTAAGTTATTTAAGTATTTGTCGTAGAAAAAGTATGGTATGCACCTCGTTTATAAACTTTTCTATACACTCATTAACTTAAGCACTCGCTCGCAAGCTCGCTCGTGCCTAAATTAAATTCGTGTATAAAATGGCGTTTATCAAACTTGATACATAATATACTATTTAGTAGAGATGGGAATCGGAAAGTTTCCATTTTAAGGAAACTTTCCGTTTTGGAAAGTTTCCAATTGGGAATTTATTTTCATTTTGAAAGTTTCTTTTAAGCTACCGGAAACATTCCTTGGAAACATTCCTTCGAAACTTTCCTTGTTTTTTTCATTTAAATGTCAATTGTTTAACCGCTGTTTTTCGTTAAGGCCATAATACAAGGCCAAGAAACTTTGAATAAAATTTAATGTGCGTTAATTTAAAGCAGAAGAAGAAGTATAATTTATACTTATACTGTATAAATAATGTAAGTTATGTTACATAACCTCAATAAAGCCAGCATAAAAACAATAAACAAAGTTAAAATCATTCTTACATTTTTGTTGTTTATTAGGCATAGCATAATGCCAAGAGAAAAATCTAGTGTTTGGAATTATTTTTTACTTTACTTTTTACTTTTCAATATTCCTATAGGTATATTAGTTACTTTGTCCCTTTTAATTTTTATTACTAGTAAATAGCAGTGAATTTATAATAGTAAACATTTTATTTTTATTTTGTAGGTTTCAGTATACAATAGGAATATTCCAAAGTAAAAGATACTAAAAAAATAATTGCAGTTACATTCTTATAAACATTTTTTTTATTTTTTTTCTTAATAAAATTTGACAAAAAGTTAATGCAAATCCCTGGCATAAAAAAAATATTTTCGCAATAAAAAATTTTTTTTTGAAACTTTCGGAAATTTTCGATGGAAAGTTTCCGGGAATTTTCGTCAAATGCGAATTTTCCCATCTCTAGTAGAGATGGGAATCGGAAAGTTTCCATTTTAAGGAAACTTTCCGTTTTGGAAAGTTTCCAATTGGGAATTTATTTTCATTTTGAAAGTTTCTTTTAAGCTACCGGAAACATTCCTTGGAAACATTCCTTGGAAACTTTCCTTGTTTTTTTCATTTAAATGTCAATTGTTTAACCGCTGATTTTCGTTAAGGCCATGATACAAGGCCAAGAAACTTTGAATAAAATTTAATGTGTGTTAATTTAAAGCAGAAGAAGAAGTATAATTTATACTTATACTTATACTGTATAAATAATGTAAGTTATGTTACATAACCTTAATGAAGCCAGCATAAAAACAATAAACAAAGTTAAAATCATTCTTACATTTTTGTTGTTTATTTATAGGCATAGCATAATGCCAAGAGAAAAATCTAGTGTTTGGAATTATTTTTTACTTTACTTTTTACTTTTCAATATTCCTATAGGTATATTAGTTACTTTGTCCCTTTTAATTTTTATTACTAGGATTTACTAGCAGTGAATTTATAATAGTAAACATTTTATTTTTATTTTGTAGGTTTCAGTATACAATAGGAATATTCCAAAGTAAAAGATACTAAAAAAAGAATTGCAGTTACATTCTTATAAACATTTTTTTTTTATTTTTTTTCTTAATAAAATTTGACAAAAAGTTAATGCAAATCCCTGGCATAAAAAAAAATATTTTCGCAATAAAAATTTTTTTTTTGAAACTTTCGGAAAATTTCGGGAATTTTCGATGGAAAGTTTCCGGGAATTTTCGTCAAATGGGAATTTTCCCATCTCTACTATTTTGTATAGATATTTAACTCGCATGAGTTCTATAAAATGAAACAATCAGTGAAAATAAAAAGTAAATTTTAATTTTGTGTAATTACGATATTGCAATCATCAAATATCAAAAACGTGTGTAATTTCACTTTATTGCACATTTTGTACGGTTTTTTTTTTGTTCGTCGCAAAGCGCGGCTTTATTGCCAGCTACCCGGTTAAAAATTCATAGAACCGTATGCGTATTTATTTCGATAAATGACTATCGGTTTGATATTTTTTCTTGTATAACGACATTTAAAAAATTTATAAAAGCACTTTAAAAACTATTATTATGTCACTTGCTGCTAAAATAATGACTATACAAAATAAATGAAACTTGTTTGCACTTAAAAACCTATTAACCACTAATTTCGTTGAATGTTGCGATTTTGGAAAATAGAGCATTTTTTAATTAAATAAAATATTCAGTAAGTTATCTAATGACTTTGATTAATTCTAAGAGATTTGGCTCCCTTAATTGAAATCCCGATTCTCGCCCCTGCCCACCCCCGGTTGCATTTTACTGCTCTAGTCTCGTAAAAATTGTTAACGCTTTAAAATTCCTCAGTGTATCTCTCGTAATTAATTATAACCATTATTTAAAGCGTTCGAATCGGCGATTTTTATTTTGCGAAATTGTTTTTCGCTGCACAGAACGCCCCCGTTAAAACATAATTTAATTATCTCGAGATTTTATCAACTTTATCAATTTTACGCAAAGAATGTTTTCTCTCCGGGTGGGATAAAAAGAATTTTTTCTTAGTATTTAATAAAAATCCTATTCGTTGGGAAACAACGCACCAAAATATAGGTAAACATTATCAGGAAATAATAAATAAAGTTTGGAAAATCTATTATTATCCCACAACAAATTGCTTATCGATTGATTGGGTTTTACCTATTTTATTTTGGTTATCACCCTGTTTATTTGCCGTACGTGACATATTTTCAGACATTCAAGAAAAATTCATATTTTTTAACTTTAGAACAATACCTACACTATATTAATATTAAATGTCGAATATCGATTTCGGTATCAGGCTTTTGTCGAGCCAACAAGAACACAATAATACTCCACATATAATCATTACCACGAAAATATGTCGCAATACTAAATTTAAACGCATTACTTTTTCAAGAAGCCTTTGTTCAAGAATGTATTAAAAAGTTTTAACACTTCAAAACTGTTAATTTTTAGGTTTACGACAGTGTTGAATATGTTAAAGTTTGGTATTACTTCAAAAGTTTCATAATATGTGATGTGGAATGAGAAAATCAACCTTTAAACCTGGCTAAATTGTTCTCAATTCATCATCAAAAGCAAAACAAAAAATATGTTTGGAAAAGTAATTTATCGACATAACAAAATTTAAAATTGTGCTGAGCATAATAAATTTTGGCCAAGGAAAATATCGCGGTTGAAAATTAAATTATGTCACATTGACAGTTAAGCTGAAAATAATGTAATAAACCTGCATTATGAAGCATATCTTAAAGGCAGTAAATATATTTTTTCTACTCCCACCTTCAAAAACGCCCTTTATCGTACATGTTTATATGACACTAAGTGACACATTGACAAGTTGTGGCTTTATGGCGCTTTAGTCACGGGCCGAAGTTAGCAACAGGTTTTTAGTCACGGGCTGAAGTTAATTTTAAGTTAGTTGACAGTTGTCAAATGTCATACAATCGTTAAAATAAAGTGCCTTTCTTGTAAAATAATACTAAATGTGAAAATTATTTTATTATCTCAATACAAAAATACAAAAGTATTCAATAGTTTCTCAACGCCAATTTTTGAAAAGTTTATATGAACATTGTACTGACCTTTTAATTTCGCCGGCAGTAAACTATAACTTAAATTCGGGCACGGACTTCATTGTAAAGTGCTCATAAAACATTTTCTTTACTTTCACTGTGAAAAACTGTCAATTTTCTAGAAATACATTTCGATTTATAACCTTTATAATAAAAATTTGACTTATGACGGAGACACATAGATTCCCCTATTGTTTCATAGATGGCGCTCTATACAAATTTTTGATTTAAATCATTTTAAGATAATAATAAGTATTTATCGTAGAAAAAGTAAAATATGCACCCCGTTTATAAACTTTTCTATACACTCATTAATTTAAGCACTCGCTCGCAAGCTCGCTCGTGCCTAAATTAAATTCGTGTATAAAATGGCGTTTATCAAACTTGCAAGTTTATAACAGTCTTATAGGATATTATGTATCATGATACATAATATACTATAAGACTGTTATAAAAGGAGTGTGCAAAATGTTTTAGCGAAAAAAGCTGCGTAATTACATACCCTTAGTAGTGTTATTTTATTTTAATTTTCTATAGATAGTCTTTTTAGCGTTGAATGTACGTAGTAGCAAAATTAAAGCAATTATTTTCATAATGAGAGAGTACAATTGATGAAAATATAGAAGCGTTTTAATTGCATTTGGGGTTGTCTTTCAATATTCCTACACTAACCTTGTATTTTCATATTACTTGTATAATTATGTACCGCAGCCGTTATTAGATATGCTTTATTTAAATTAAGTATCGATCGGAACAATTACATATTGGGTTTTGATATCAAAAGCTTTGTATGTTGTTATTTATAAGTAATTTTTATTTGAACAAGTTAAGAATTAGAATAGTACAAAAGGGTCGGTGCTAGTGGGTGTGTAGTAGATTATACAATAGGTAGACCGAGGTGGTAATTAAACTAAATCATTGTAGAATTTCTCTTCTCCACAACCTATACCATAGTCCATAGAAACGTAGTATGGATCTCTCGGATTGTTAAAGGTTAAAACTGTTATTTTTTTCAATCACGTTTACCACACCCAAACGTTCATTCGGTTTAATATTAAATAAATAAATAAATTTTATTAGCAATTGCAATCATTTTTTATTGATACTCGATAAAAATAAATTTTCGATATTGCAATGAAATTCAAATAAATTACACCACAAGCGTAGATATTTACATTGTTTTTTTCAACTTGTTTGTTATTTATGTTTTTAAATATTTACAGGCCTTATAATTACCTCGTAACTTCATTTTACATTTCCCCAGAAACTTTTTAATTGCTTTCGAATCCCAACGTCGATTATGTCTCTTATACCTACCCAAAATTAATTATACCCACTTGGGTAAATTCTTAATTTAACTTTTCAAAATTGTTTCTTGTTTTCGAATTGCCTAATGCCCTTTCAAAAAATTAGTTTCCCGGCACTGATGGGCTCTGTTGATTAGGGTGTTTAATTTAAAACGACCATTTTTTGTTTTCAGCTCTGAAAGTCATTTTTTACTTTTTTCACATATTTTTGAAAATGTTGCTTGTCTTACCAAAAAATTCTAAAGGAAAAAGTTGTAGAAAATGTAATTCTCTAAAAAAAGTTATTATGTTTATATCGCTTACAAAATATTTAATAGTCATGAAATTGAATTTAAGAGAAATTAATCTCAAGAAAATATTAAACTGCTCATATCTTATAAACTGTGCACTTTAATGATATAAACATAGTAAATGTTTTTGTAGAGAATTAAATTTTCCTTTTGAATGTTTTGGTAAGACAAGCCATTCTCTTCATATTTTTAAAAATATGTGAAAACATTAAAAAAAAATAACTTTTAGAGCTGATACCATCAAGTTAGAGAAAAGTTGTTGAGAATTCTTTTAAAAAGCGTTAAATACTCTGTAAGTAACAATGAACCACGATAAAACCCGGTAAAGATACAGAAATTTAAAAAAAGTGATGAAATGGGAGAAATTCAAAATAAATAAGGTACTTGGAATTAAAATTAAGAGCTCAAACTTTATGGGAATTTTTTTTCGATGTTTTGAACAATATTTTGCAGTTTCGGTGAAAAACAAAATGAGACACCCTAATTTTGAATCAATAGTATTGATTTTTTAAAATTGATGATTGATGATGATGAGATTATTACTAAAAATTGTTATAATATTTTAGGTGTCAAAAGTAAAGGTGCAAGAGTGCACAGTGTACAGAAATTGCTTGGAGTGTTTGGGAGTGAAGGATCCATATTGCGGCTGGTGCTCCCTGGAAAACAAGTAAGTCAATATTATGTAATTATTTTTACCCACACCTTTTAATATACAATATAAGACAATTATTATTGATAATAACGGTCCCTATTAAGGCAGCGAGTTTTATAATTCTTAAACCTAATGAAATATCATTCAGCTAATGGGCATGCCTAGGTGATAGTTGTAATGGTTATAAATCATTGTTGAAGGTCAGAATACAGTTAGAAGTATTAAATGATCTTTGTAATAAGATCTAAGTATCTTTCAGGGCAGATGCAATATCCATTTGTTCGAAGGAAAATGCATTTCTTCATTAGGCTATGAATGATTAGATGGTGGAAAAATCAGCGTTGTTTTTATTGGATTTACTAAAAGTTTTGTAGTCGGTCGGAGAGGAATGACGGAATGTACCCTGGGGAGTAATTCGTGTTTTGTTTTTTAATAAAAATTACGTCTATATTAACTTATGTTGTTTGGAAATGATAGCGCACAAGTAATATTAATGAAAGACGTTGTGAATATCATTAATTCTCAAGCATAATGGCACTGATTTGAAATTTTCTCTAATAGAAATGAATTATTCTATGCAAATTTTCTGACATCGAAGAAAATATTTATTAATTCATTTGTGAACGATGAAGGAAGAACGAACGCAAACTTATCGCGCTGCAAAGGCGGCATGAAATTACGTGAAATTAACTAAATGAAACATTTCGGCTGTAAACACTTCTTATAAGTAAGTAACTTTGTTGCTGTTTTGGATAGGAACTGATAACAAGAGAAAATGAGAAGTTTACATTTTCTCATGTTGGATATGCGAAAAAGCCGATGTTTGCCTTTATCTTTACCTACGATATCCTTCACTGAATTAATTAAGTTTGCACACTATAACACGGAAAAACCCACTTCTGATTTTCATTAAAACCATATTTACCGAACACATATTAAATGCAACTATCAGTTTTAATTTATAAATTACGGATTATTTTTAAATCGACAGTTTTGATTGAATGGGAATTTTCATAATTATACAATTTTCACACAAATTAAAACCCAATATTCAAACATCATTGCTCTGTGTATTTTATATGTACACTAAAAAATACCTAGTCCAACATTTAATTAGCTTGACCATAAAAAGCGATTTTTATTTCCCCAACAACTGCAAATTAAACAATAATTTAAATGGATTTTATTTTCACTAATACACTCTGATTATTTAATAAATTAAACAACTAACAATATTTCATTAAAACATGGCAATGTTTTTAATTTACCCCACCCACATCATTTCCGCCACTGGTTGTTCCTGACGCAAAATATGCTTGCACAGTGGGAAATAATCTACATTCATTAAAAATTTTTATTTGTGTTATCATTGATTACTTTGTTGAATGATCTTTGAAATGAGCAAACCATTCACCGACTGCGCCATCACCTTAAACTTCACAAATGCGTCCTTCTTTTATTTTCACTCGCATTTAAGACGCTGTATCTTTTCACCGAACGAAAAAATGTCGTAATACAAGACATTGTTGTATATTAAATGATCAAATGGAGCAGCACTGTACCTACTAACGAACTGTTTGTTTATCTAGGTGCAGCTTAAGATCGGATTGCCAGGACGCAGCCAAGGACCCCTTATACTGGATTAGCTATAAGAGCGGCCGATGCACCACAATTACATCGGTAATCCCCAACCAATTACAACGTACCACAGCCAGAACCGTAAGTAATTAGCAATGTTTAGTGTCGCTACAGTTATAAACGTCATTTGTTTTTGTTTTTTCAGCTCGATCTCGTTATCGACAACTTGCCGAGTTTGACTGGACACTTCCTGTGCGCTTTCACAGCGCTAGACAAGACTCTTGTCACCAATGCTAGCAGAAAGGGTAGCGGGGTGAATTGCACCACGCCAAGAACCGACACTCTACCATCTATACCGCAAGGGCAACGTAAGTATTTGTTACCTGAAATATTAGAAATATTCCCCAACACAAAAACAAAACACAAAGTGCTTAAAGTTTTTTTTTATTTTACGCAGATCATTTCACCGCAAAATTGTCAGTTAGAATGACAACTGGTCCGGATTTTGTGGCAACAAATTTCACATTTTTCGACTGCAACACATACAGCTCTTGCACGCAATGCGTCTCGTCTTCGTTCCCGTGCGATTGGTGCGTCGATGGGCACCGATGTACGCACGATACCGCCGAAAATTGCCGTAACGACATCCTAGTTACCGGGGTTAGCGTGAGTTTTTTATTTAATCCCCATCTCCCCCGAAATAGTAATTGTCGATTTTTTTAGCGAGCCGGTCCAAGTTACAGATCCGGACCGGCGTTCTGTCCCACCATCAACGCGACCGTGGGTAATTCCCCGGAAATTCTCGTAGCCTCTGGAATCAAGAAGGCGATCAAGGTGAAGGTGCACATTATTGGTCAGTTCATAGTGCAAACCAGATTTGTGTGTCAGTTCAATATCGAAGGCAGAGTAACCAGTGTCAATGCTCAATTGTTGGGCGACACAATTTATTGCGACCCAATGGAGTTTTCTTACACATCCAGGGCCCCGAATATTACCGCCACTTTTGCTGTCATCTGGGGAGGCTCCAAACCTCTGGATAATCCTGATAATATACACAGTAAGTATCATTTTACCAACCATTACTTTTAAAAAAAATTAACAATCCTTCTTCAGAATAATTCTGAAGAAGCTACCCAAGCAGCACAACTGCTTAAATAACCAGCATTAAACAAAATCTAAGTAAAATAACGTTTTTTAAACTTGTTTTTAATCAATTAGTTGTATTCAACCACTAACATTTTTTTAAGGTTACTATGAACCAAAAAAAACCTTTAAATTTACCAACCGGTTGCTATTACCTTAAGGTTATTTCAAGAGTTTAAATTGACTCTTAATAAACCAAATATTTAACTAGTTAGTAATATTACTTTTAAATTCAAACGTAGGTTATTTTAGAAGTTATATTAACTTCTAATTTTAACTTTTGGGTAAATTTACCACAGTTTTGGTATATTTGGATACATTTTTTTAATCAACAAGTTATATTTTACAAAATATATTTTAACTGGCTGGTAAATTAATGTTAATTAATAAATTGGTTAAAAAAATTATGGTTTTGCAGTTTTCATTGTTACCTGCATAGAAAAATAATAATACATATATACATATATATATAGAAATAATTTTAAAAAATATAGACTTTCTTCAACTTACTATAAAACAGTTAACAAAGTTGTAAATCATTACGGTCCCCTCACATTTAATTAAATTAAGTAAGCATCTATAATTTTTATTGCATCTGCGTTTTATAAAATAAAGCAGGCTGCACACAGAATGTAAGATCGGCAGGATTTTTTTTTTGGTTGTTTATTTTAAAAATAACAAGTTAGTTTAATTTAACTAATTTTGGTAATATTAACTATAATGTGTTACATAAACCATAAACCCATATTTAAATTAACCCAAGTAATCATATAATCTAGGGTATTTATCTCCATTTTAAAAACGACCGGCGAGATTTTTGACTGACCTTCCTCAGAAGCGCTGACGGGCATCTTACTATTTCGCACGATTATGATGGCTGACGCCTACTGAAACAGATATATTCCGCCCGCGCGTCGGACTAACAGTGCAGATTTGAATCCGCCCGGCTTGTAACTATCCATCCTAAAAAAGTTTACCCGTATTAACCGTCCTAAAGTTAATATTGAGAATTACATTTAAAAAAATAATCCATATATTACCTTTTTAGAACATATGTAACGTTAATTTTACCATAATTGAATTCCCCACTTATTACAAAATAACCTTAATTTAAGGTTAATTTAACTAGTTGTGCTACTTGGATAAACAATCGTTAATTTTTTTAAAAACACCTAACTACATAATGTTGTATTTTTAGTCGTTATATATCGTTGTCGGGACATGGCCGATAACTGCGGGATATGCTTGGCTCTGGCCGAAAAATACGATTGCGGTTGGTGTCAGAGTTCGGATAGATGCGAGGTGAAAGATCAATGCGAACGCGGCTCCATGGTGTGGTTGAATCGCAGTCAGACATGCCCGAACCCGGAAGTGACGTCGTTCAGCCCTGAACTGGGCCCTTGGGAGGGCGGCACCAACATAACCATACAAGGAATCAACTTGGGCAAGTCCTTTCAGGACATATACACCGGCGTGAGCATAGCCGGCATAAACTGCCAGCCGTACGAGCACTTGTACATCAAGACGAAGCAGATCGTTTGCAAAGTCGACGGTCCTGGCACCAGCGAGCCGAGGCAGGGCCAGGTGATCGTCAGAGTGGAGGATTACCGCGGCGAATCGAAGACGCAGTACCGCTTCGTCGACCCCGCCATCAAGGGCATATCTCCGAAGTACGGGCCGAAGTCCGGCGGAACGATGCTGCAAATCACCGGCGAGTTCATGAACGCCGGCAGCAACATACAAGCCTTTCTCGACGAGCTGCCGTGCCGGATCGTCAGCACCGAGCAGAACCACGCGCTGTGCGTGACCAGCGCGTCCGAGTCGACGGCCAAGCGCACGCTGAAAATGAAGTTCGACAAAGGCGACCGCTACTTCGAGGCGATGAAGTTCGAGTACGTGGAAGATCCGGTGATCGAGTCGGCTGAGAGCGGCGCGGCTCACCCGACGAAAATTCCCAAAGGCGTGCCGGCCGGCGGCATCAAGATATCCGTCACCGGTCGCAACTTCCAGTCCATACAGAAGCCGCAGATGTACGTATTCTACGAGCAGAAGATGTTTATAAGCGAGTGCGCGGTCAACAGCAACACGAGCATGAGCTGCAATAGCCCCGTGATCGAGGCGGAAGACGACAAGCTGGATGCCGACAATCCGCTCAAGTTGGAGTACGGATTCCGCATGGACAACGTGACCGGCGTGCAGAATTTAACGGAAAGCAAAGACTTTGCGCCGTTCGATTTGTTCCCGAACCCCGTGTTCTTCCCGTTCGACAAAGAGGTCAAGTACTACAAGTCCGAGTATTTGAACATCAACGGGCAAAACATCGATAGAGCTTGTCAGGAGTCGGATGTCGAAGTGAGAATCGGCACGAGTTACTGCAACGTCACTTCGTTGTCCAGGCAGCAATTGACTTGCAGACCGCCTGAAATACAACCGCCGGCCATCGACGACTCCGGTCTGGAGGACGTGGAGGCCTTACCCGAAGTGGTGGTGATAGTCGGCGGCTCTTTGAGGTTCAACATCGGCCAGCTGTCGTACTCCTCGCCGCAAGGTCTGAACGGACCGCTATCGTCGACGACCGCAATCGCATTCATCGTCATCGGCGTGATTATTTTCGTCGTCTTCATAATATTCCTGATTGCGTACAGAAGGAAATCCACGGAAAGCAACAGAGTGCTGAAGAACATGCAAGAGCAAATGGACATTTTGGAGTTGCGCGTGGCGGCCGAGTGCAAAGAAGCGTTCGCCGAGCTGCAAACGGAAATGACCGACTTGACCGGCGATTTGACTTCCGGCGGCATACCGTTCCTCGACTACCGAACGTACGCCATGAAAATCCTGTTCCCCAACGTCGAAGATCACATCGTTTTGCAGTGGGAACGGCCGGAGTTGCTTTGCAAGGAAAAAGGGCTGCGTCTGTTCGGCCAGTTGATAATGAACAAAACGTTCCTGCTGCTCTTCATCAGAACGCTGGAGAGCAACCGGTATTTCTCCATGAGAGACCGCGTCAACGTGGCCTCTCTAATAATGGTCACCCTGCAAAGCAAGATGGAATATTGCACCGACATACTCAAGACCCTTCTGGCCGAGCTGATCGAGAAATGCATGGAGGGCAAAAGCCATCCGAAATTATTGCTGAGGAGGACCGAGAGCGTGGCCGAAAAAATGCTAAGCGCCTGGTTTACATTCCTTTTGTACAAATTTCTGCGCGAGTGCGCCGGAGAGCCCCTCTTCATGCTGTTCAGAGCGGTCAAACAGCAAGTCGACAAAGGCCCCGTTGATGCAATCACTTCCGAAGCGAGATACTCATTGAGCGAAGAAAAATTAATCAGACAATCGATAGATTTTAAGCCTATGGTAAGTTTACATCGATAACTATGGCACGCCGTTTTAACATTTATTAAATATTTTTTTTAATTTAACATTTTATTGGTTTAAAATTTTTCTACTTTTATAAATTTAAAATATTTTCAACTCATTTATTGAAAAACTTACTAAATAACAGTTTACTTCTGTATTAAACAATATTATTTCCAATTAATTTTTGCATAAATTTCCAACCATTTTTCAATAAAAATAATTCCTCAAGTATAATTTTGAATTTTTAAAATATTTAATAAAATTATTTAGATTAAATTTTTTAGTATTTAAAAATTAAGACCCTAGAAGCAAAGCGATACAAGTGACATAAAAAAATGTAGTTATGTACAGAAAAAGATAGTAAATGGTACATTTTACTTGGTATCCAAGGAATACAAATTAATTCTAAGCTTAGACATCTTAAAAAAACAAAGTCATAAAACAACAAACAATTTTGACTCCAAATTACAAGTGTTTTTTTTCTTTAAACATGATTATCTCAAAACAGAACAAAATGTACTTATACATCTTGGCTTCTAGGGTCCTCAAATAGTGTCAAGACATTTAAAATAAAAACACATATAAAATACATTTTCTACCAAAATTGTTTAAAAAGTTAAATTTTTTTAAACTCAAAACAATTGATAATCAAAAAATATTTTAAATATAGAATGAAAATGTAAAAATTATGTTTAAAATATTGGTTTTTAAAAATTGTACTTATTCTACAAAATTAGTCGTTTAAATGATTTAATATAAAAATTCTCACATTACATTTAAATGTAAGTTTTTAATTTTAAAGTGTCAACTTTTGGATTAAAAATGTATCGACTATCATTTAAACCAATACTTTTATTTTTAACAAATTTAAATTGATACATTTTTAACACATTGCATTTAAATGTAAGTCGATAATTTTTAATTCACAAAGTGTAAACGCGGCTTTAGCTGACTGCATATGAGCTTTGTACGTTACACCGACTATGGTCTACTCTTAAAATTGACCACTCTAGAAAGAGACAGCATAAGCCTTCTGCTAGAGCTACGTTTACATTTTGTAAATTAAAAATAATCGACTTACATTTAAATGAAATATTTGTACTAAAATTTTTAAAAATCATTATTTTTAAGCCTAAAGTTTTACAGTTTTATTTTATATTTAAAATACATCTGACTATCAATTGTTTCAAGTTTAAAAAAATTTAACTTTGTAAATCTTTAAACTATAAATGCTAAAACGGCGTGCCATAAATAACACAGGTCTACAAATGTTTTTGAGAAATTCCAACTCAAAAGTGGGAAAAACGCGTTTGTTTTTCCACTAGACTCGTAAATCCTTATCCTCCTGATTTTTATTTAATTTTTTCTTCTCTGATGTGTTTGAGCAATTCGGATTCAGCACGTCAAAATCCTTTATTTTTGAAAAACGCGAATTGAGCACAAACGAGAAAAACGAGCATAAACGAGTTTCTTATTTTTCATGTTCATTCTCAGTATTCTCGTAAATTTTTCTTAATATTTAATGGTGTTAAAATCTTTTTTTCATTATTTCGATTATTTTATTTGGGCAATTTTAAAAGCTAGCAAAAAGATTTTGCACACGGTTTTTGAGAAATATTTTTTTTGTATATTCATTTTTATTAATAATTAATTGATGAAAAGGTAAAAAAACTGTTCAAAAATGTCAAATTAATAAGAACTAAAAATTTCGTAACATTGGTAATATTTTCATAAAAAATGTTTATCCAGGATTAACGAGTTTAGTGAAAAAAATGCTCAAAAACTTTTGTAGTTTGTTGTGTAGGGTGTTAATTATTTTTGTTTTCAGACTGTGTATGTGTCAATTTCTCAACAAACCGTGTTTGTGGGAAGTTTGGATCATAACACAGATAATATTCCTGTGAAGGTGTTAGATTGTGATACAATTAGTCAAGTTAAGGAAAAATCGTTGGATACTATTTATAGAGCGACGCCATACTCGCAAAGACCCAGGAAGGACGATTTAGATCTCGGTAAGTTGTAGGGTTGCTATGTAAAGACTTTTTGTACTATACGGCAAAATTGTAGAGTGGCGTACCGGTACATCTGGCAGATTGATTTTGTACGATGAAGACAGCACCACGAAGTTGGAGGGCGATTGGAAGCGCCGCAACACCTTGCAGCATTACCGCGTTCCAGACGGCGGATCTCTGAACTTGGTGTCGAAACAAAGTTCCATATACAACCTGAACATCTTCTCGGAGAAGAACGACAAGTCGCACAAGTACGAGACTTTGAACCACAGCAAGTTCAGCTCGGTGAGCCCGCCTCTGAGCCGAGCGACGAGTCCGCTGAACCACGATCAGGATCAAGGGTACAAGGTGTGGCACCTGGTCAAGCACCACGACAACGACAACCAGAAGGAGGGCGAGAGAGGCAACAAGATGGTGTCGGAGATCTACCTGACGCGGCTGCTGGCCACCAAAGGTACCCTGCAGAAGTTCGTCGACGACCTGTTCGAGACCATATTCAGCACGGCGCACCGCGGCTCTGCGCTGCCGCTCGCCATCAAGTACATGTTCGATTTCCTCGACGATCAGGCGTTGCAGCACGGCATCAGCGATCCGGAGGTCGTGCACACATGGAAGAGCAACTCGCTGCCTCTCCGCTTCTGGGTCAATCTCATCAAGAACCCCAACTTCGTGTTCGACATACACAAGTCGAACATCGTCGACTCTTGCCTATCTGTCGTTGCTCAAACATTTATGGACTCCTGTTCCACTTCCGATCATAGGCTAGGTAAGATCTTTCATTCGACAATTTTGTGCTTCATGTCAACATTTTTACGTCTTTTATAGGTAAAGATTCTCCAAGTTCAAAACTTTTATACGCAAAGGATATTCCCTCGTACAAGGAATGGGTAGATAGATATTACAGCGATATTAAGAATATGTCCGCAATATCGGACCAAGATATGAACGCGATGCTTGCCGAGGATTCAAGAGTAAGTTTTTATTTCATGTTTTACGTTTAACACTCACACACTTGAACCTTTTATCGGTCTGCGCAGCGCAATATCACAAAACAAACTGCGCATGAGTTTGACGATATTCGGAGAACATTTAACAACCCTGGAATTTTAGGTTGCACGCTTGTTTCAAATATCTATTGCCTTAAAAGGTCCTAGATCTGGAAAAGTTACTTAGTTACCTCAGATACTATATGAAAGTATCTAAGATACTTTTGAGAAACAAAGATACTTTTAACTAAATAAGTTACTTTTGAGTAACTAAGTTACTTTTAAGTATGAATAAAAACTATAAAATTATAAAAAATTAACAAGTTTTAGGTTAGGTTTAGGTAATTACTTTAAATTATTCTGGAATTCCCCCAATTTTCTCTAAGAAAGTATCTAAGTTACACTGAAAGTAACTTGAATGTACTTTTTGAATGTATCTGTATCTGTAAAAATATATTTCAATGGTTTCAAAACACAGTTTTTTGTTTCTAGAGTGATGAATCATCTTTGTATATTTATTTATATATTTGAAACCTTAACATTTTACAAGAAAAACAGTTTTATGTTTAACAATACCAGTTATTAGACAACATTCTTACTTCACTAGAAAATAAAGATTTAGTGTTAATTAATCAAACAAGGACCCACACCGTTTTTTTAAAACTTTGATCTAATTTTATATAATAAATTGGCAAAAAAAAATTAAAGACTTTAGTTTGAGGGAACAATATTTAACACATTTAGTTCATTGTATAAATATGTAGAGCTCATTAGGAAAGGTTTGTTAAATAAGAGCTTGAGAAGTCTATTTTGTGTCACTTGCAAACTTTTTTTTGCATGCCCCCAAAAAGCTGGAAGATACATTAAGTGGGAGTTTTATATATTAAATGTTTAGTTTTCTTGTTTATTAAATAAGCATTTCTTCTCAGGTAATAACTTAAGCTTCCAATTTTATTTTTGAGACTTTGAATGTGGTCACTAAAACTAAGATAATCATCAATAATTAATCCTAAATATTTTGCATTTCTCACTTTATCCAAAATTTGTTTATTTAATGTTGAAGTATAGTTATCACAGTTTTTTTACGTTTTATGACTAGATAGTTGCACTTGGATTTATTAAGTTTAGTATTGTTTTTCTTTGTCCACATATGAATGGTATTTGGATCGCTTTGAGTCCATCCAAACACTTCCAGAATAGAAAAACTGTTTCACCTTTGACATCACATTCAGTTAGTGGCCCTAGCATTGACCCTTGCGGAACTCCTTAATGATTTTTTTCAATTTTACTATTTTTGTCACCAATGGTTGTGTACTATGACAAGTCAATTTTACTGCCTTTCTTATGGATTGATGTAACTCGTGCTATTTTTAAGATATCTGGAAATTGTTGCCTGTTTAAGATGTTGGTTAATCAATACTGTACCTAGATATTGAAAAAAAATTATCATTACTGCCATAAACTATCTCTATGCTATGTTATGATAATAGTAGGGTTTTAAAATTTCCGGAAAAATTGAGCCGGCGGAAAAAAATTGAGAAATTTTCAGAAAAATTGACTTTTTAATCTCTTAAATTTTATTCAAAGGGTAATACGAAAAAATGCAAAAGTCAATTTTTTTGAAAAATTCCAAATTTTTACGGATAGTATCCGTACACTGATATCCGACGCTGTTTATAATCATATAATATTATGATTATAATAATTGTTTCTTTTATTTTAATTCAGTAAGAATACAAAAAAATCCCACAGGCATTATATTTCACGTTTACGTTTATTTTCTTAAATTTAATTTAATGTTAAGTTTTATTTTTTTTGTAATAGAGGATTTTTTTTAATTTAAAATAATGTTAAGTTGTTAATTACTACTTTTTTTCAAAAGTGTATATTTTCTAAAAAAAAACCAATTTTTCCAAAAAAACAGGTTTTTTCTCCAATTTTTCCGGTTTTTTTCCGACACTTTAAAACCCTAGATATTAGTAAGCATGTTAATTTTTGTAAATTTTTAGCTACACACAACGGAATTTAATACGAACTGCGCCTTGCACGAGCTGTACAACTACGCGGTAAAGTACAACGAGCAGCTGACGGTGACGTTGGAGGAGGACGAGTTCTCGCAGAAGCAACGTTTGGCGTACAAGTTGGAGCAGGTGCACAACATAATGTCGGAGCAGGGGCAGCCGTGATACTGGCCCGACCTGACGTGTCCGTCGGCACCGCCCATCTCGCCCATATTCCCATCGGCACCTCAGGAACTCGCTTGCTGATAGAAGAAATCAACGAATATCCATTAATTCAGGCATAAATGCAGGAAACCCTAAAACCGTGTTGTGTTGTTGTGTATGTAAACGCCACTTATACATATCCCCCCCCTCCCCCCTCACCCCAACGCCGATTGATTGAGCAGATTGCCCTGCGATCTGATTAAATTAAAGAACTCGATGTGTGTCGTAAAATAATAACGAATTGCTGTTGTAATTGTTCAGTGTGTGCGTTTGTGTGCGCGCGCTCGCTCCCAGTGACTTGTAAGTGCCTCTGGTAGATTGAGTGCTCCGAAAACGCAAAACGAAAATAATTGCGCTGAGTGTACCATATATTTTTATGAATAATATATATGCTTTGCCGTGCCGGCCCTCAGCGTTAGTCCAACAACAACAAAAATTAATATCAACTCTATGATGGCTTTTTTCACATTTGTATACAGTTTAATATTTTTATATTTAGTTGAACGCAATCACGATGGTGATTGTCTTCCGCAATGATGGAAGCACCAGGGTGTAGTTACTTGCGACCTTTCAATCAATCAATCAATCTTATACATACATACTATGCACAAAGGTCGTTTTTAATGTGGTTTGTGTACGTGTTATAAGGCTGTGTACATTTCTATTAAATTAAATTTAACCAGCGTATTATGTTGCTGCCTATCTACGCTAATGCACCATCATCTATTTCTTCTTCTTCTCTACAAACTCTTCTGACCCTCCCATCGAAACATTTTCAATGCTAACTACCAAGTGTTCAAAGCAAACTTTCAAAATGCATTCTGTCCAAAAAGACCCTGTATATTCAAAAAAATCGAATATTTTTTTTTTACTTCCGACACTGAAAATTGGCTCTACAAAAAAGACTGACTACTCTAACCATTTAAAAGATATTTAACATCAAAGTTTGAAGAATTTATATAAAAAAAAAAATTTCGTAACTATTGTTCCAATGAGTATGACATATTTTTGTGTGAAATTTAACGCTCTACAAAAAAGGTCCGATGTGTTTAATTGATTATTCTAACCGTTGAGAAGATATTCGTATCCGAATATCAATACGAATATCTTCTCAACGGTTAGAGTAATCAATTAAACACATCGGACCTTTTTTGTAGAGCGTTAAATTTCCTAAAAAAATATGTCATACTCATTTGACAATAATTATTTTTCAATGAGTTACAAGTTTTGTTTAATAAATTCTTCAAACTGATCTTGAATATCTTTTAAATGGTTGGAGTAATCGCTTAAATACATCAGTCCTTTTTTGAAGAGCATTCAATTTTCCACAAAAATATGTATAAAGTTTTGATTAAACGATTGATTATTAATGAAATGATTATTAAAGAAAAAATTGAAAACTATTAATACTAAGAGCTAAGTTTTGTGAGCACTTTCCAGAGGTGCGTAAGAATCATTTTTTAGTGTCGGACGTAAAAAAAATTCTAATTCTAATGTTTATACCATAAAAAAAGTATTAGGATATGAACTTTAAATTTAGAAAAAAATCAACGTGGTAAATAACAAACAGTATCAAAGTACTGGAAAAAATGACATTTTGAAATACATTTTAATTCAAAAGTACATTTTTTAATAAAGTTTAACTTTCTAAAACGTTTTGTGTTTTACAATAATACAGTCTGTGTTATTTCCAAACAAACCGAGTTTTGTCCGCTTCAGACAATCAAAGAGCATCTTTTTTCAGATTTCTAAAATTCTTAAGGGATAAATAAATATTTTTAAATATATTTATTTACTGGCATCTTAATTTCTACTCCAAATATATCATTTACTTCCCAAAAGTCTTTTTTGTTTCCTGAAAATTATGGCAGTTTGGACAAAACGCATTTTGGAAGTCTTAAGAATCAAATCTAAAAATTTCTACTGCCTTTAGAATGTGAAATTTAGATTCATACACTGAGCGTCAAAATTAACGCATAACAAGTAAAAAAAATCTGCCTTTACCAATTTTTATAAAATTTTGGATAAAAATAACTTACATCTTAAAGCCCTTTTATTTAATAATAAAAACGCTCGAAAAAAATCTTTTATAGGGAATTTTTTTTCTAAGTAAATAAATATGCTGTGAAAGTATTTTTGTTAGTATAGCCAAAAAATGTTGTACAAATCCAACGAACACTAACGAAAATACAGTCGTCAAAAATAATCAAAAAGGGGTCATTTTACCGACTATTTTCGTCACTGTTCGTTTGATTTGTACAACATTTTCAGGGTATACTAACAAAAATATGGTCTTTAACAGAATATTTTTTATTTATTAAAAAAAATTCGAATGTTTTTTCATTATTAAATAAATAAAAGGGAACACGAAAACTGAGATATAAGTTGAAGTATTTTTATACAAAATTTCATAGTAAAAATATGCATTATTTTTGACGCGCAGTGTATTTATTAAAGTTCACATTCTTAATGCAGAATATCTAAAAGATAAACTTTATGGTTATAGGCATTTTTCCTCCTTAAATTTCTCTGTTTCCCCGCTGATGTTATTGCATTTTAAAATACGTCCACACATTGTAATTTTTCTAATGCAGTAAATTATACCTGAAAAAAATCTTATGTGCCATCTTAACATTATCTCATTAGAAGGATTATTAGGCGAAAATATTCAAAAAATATTTGAATATTTTCCGAAATTTTTTGGACGTAACATCACACGCAAAATCTGTCAAATCTGGAAAATTTAGCTGTATTGGCATATATGAAAATTTATGATAATTATTAACTGTTCCGCTATTCGATGCTTGCGTAATTGTGGTTCACACTGTATAGTAAGTTGTTGTTCATTTGTAATCAATTATTGGATGGATATATTGCAATAAGAAAAAAAGAAAAGAACCATTTATAAGGTGTGTATGTACATTATATCATTCATTTATATACCAATGTGCAATCTGTATTACATGCTTGTAATTTCTCGAATAGTCGCCACTTTTTCGCAAAAAGTATTTTAAAACGAAGGCATTCTATATACATATATACATGTATATTGTTGGGTCCACAATTGTGCTATTTATAGCAAATATCAATTACATTTATATCATAACTACTAATTTTATATAATGCTTCTCGAATATCGTTTTAACCAAGAGAAAATTAATATATTATGCTTTGAAATGTCTTTATATTGTTCTTATCAGTTAAACAATTATTTATTTAGTTCATAGGTAACTTATATATACTTTTATATATATTTTTATATTAAGATTGTGTTTGAACAACACAATCTTATTAATACTAGTCTTGAACAATATCAAACACGTTTTATATATAATTTTTAATATAGGATTATAAAAAAGCAAAAAAATATATACTACATTCCGTTTTAGTGAGAGCTACATTTGTTGTATAGTAAGAGAGAAGGAGAGAGAGTTTTTATTTAATATTAATTATCACTTAAAGACATCCATTTTTTCAAGCCATTATACAATACAATGGGTTTGTTCGTGCGGAGCTTTTGGGCATGCGCAGTACGCGATTTTAGTCATGGGCATGCGCAGTGGTCAATTTGACAGTCCAAAGGTTACGTAGGGACAAATCTAAGAATACTCAACTGGACATTGCAAAAGACATTGCTTGTGATAATAGAAACGGTAAGGGCTTTTAAATAATGGGTGTGTGGAAAAAGTGGACAACTATTCGCGCGAAATCGATTTAATTTAATTACTATTAGTTGTATATTCCTGTAAATAGTAATTTCAGGATGTTCATCAACCCAGGCAGCACATGAATATTAAATATATTCATATATAAATATATGACCGTTCTGCTTAATTTTTGAATATCTGCATATACAATGAATATTACAGAAAATTCTTGTTAGTGTGTAGTAATTTCGATGTTAAGACCCAATGAAAATAAGTCTCTATTGTCAATAATAGTATAGAAATTGAGGCACATATGGAGATTTGCTGTTGAATTGGGTTGAATTAGGTTAGGTAAATAATCAATTTTATATACATAAATGTTCAGTGGATATGCATGCAATATGCAGATGTTACCTTAGATATATTTTTTATTACAAAACAAATTGTGTGTCCCATTTTTATATAACAGAAGAAATTGTCTGTCTATTTACCTACTCGAGAAAAAAATACAATTTAGCTCTTTTTCGATCACCAATCAAACATTGTATTTTTTGAAAATCGGTACCCACTTTGAGCAGAATAGATTTTCGTTGTTCATCTATGATTTAGTCATTAGATTATATTCAATGGATATTGTGTTGTTTGGGAAGAAATCTACAAATATGTTTAGGGAACAAAACAATAATGTTATTGTATATTTTTAATCAACAATTATACTCATTGTCTCTTAAATACGAAAAAATTCACCGTCCTAAAATTGGAAGAAAAAAATCCTTTAATTAGCTTGTGGACAACTGCGCAAATCTATCAAGTCCAGTTAGGCAGTTTTTAATATAATTTAACAATCTATTATTAAATTACCTTTTTTATTTTAAATTATTTAAGTTTTGTATATAAAATTTTTATGCCAAAAAAATTTGCTTCTGGACAATTGCATAGTAAGAATTGTAAATATTAAATGTAAGTATGTCTGTTAGGATGAAAGTCGTGTATGAATGCATATGTGTTTGTATGTTCCACGCAAGATATATCCATAGTACTGTGTGTATATTCGATTGCATTTCTGCAATAATATGAATGGTAATGTACTACTATATGTTATTATAAAAGACTGAATGGAGTTACTAAAATACTTAATAGAAAAAATCATCTTAATTTGTTTTTTATTTTTTTTCCGTTTCCCCTCTCTTTCAGATATTTTCGGGGAAGTATTTAATGGTTACTTCTAAAAAACTCTGAAAAAAATATTTATTTCAAAAGTTTTTTTTGGTCATAAATTGTTTAGTAACCCGACCTAAATAAATGATTTATTTGAATCTTCCACATTTTATTTTAAACCTCTATATTTTTTTATTCACAACATTGAAATTTTTTAATAAGTATCTACCACAAAAAAATATATTAAAAATAAAAACCACTTCATTCAATAATTCGTCATTTTGTCTTTTCGATTCAAAACGTAGATTGCACAATAAACGACATGCATTCAAAATCTACAAATTTACAGAAAATCAATATTTTTTCTTATCCTAAGAGTTTAATTTAATTGTAGCTAAAAACCCTCTAAAAATAATCATTTTACAAAAGGACAACAATTAACAAATCAGAATAATTATTCTCTACCATAATGTGGGTCGCATAGAATTTTTTTTTGTAAGTTTGTTGGATGGCGTATCTAAACTTCTAAGATACACCATTTAATAAATGAAATAAAACCACAGAAGAGACAAAACTACGCACTTTGGTATAACCATCTGTACACTTTACTGGTGAGTAAAATTAAAACTAATATTTTAATAAAAAAAATCTTAAATTCTGTATTTCAATGTTATATCCCAAGTAACACGACGTGACGGCATTCTACTAGATTTCACGAAATCGTCACGCTCGTTCTTTATAAAGTACATTTTTATATAAATACGTTATCAAAATGAAGGTGACGCCTGCGTCACTTCTAAATTTTTGACGGAACCGTGAAGATTTTTCGTTATAAAGTAACTTTTTAAATAGATACTGCACAGAAAATTTGTGACGTTTGCAGTGCACTTTATTCGTGACGTTTTCGTGTTTTTAGGAACGAGATCTCTCGAGAGAGGGCGTTCTATAACCTTCTTTATCTCTGTCAGATTCTCTGGTCAGCCATTTTCATTGTCGTTGTTTTGTAGAGACACTGCCCCACACACGTGCTGCGTTTTTGTTGTTTTTATTGTTATCATTTGTTCGTATTCAATGGTTTATAGATAAGGTGAGTTTAATTTAAATTGTTTTAATTACTTTGGCTTGCAATTTTGCTAAAATTCCTATTAGTTCAGTAATTATATTCTTTTCGGTACCTATATATTTGTTGCAATATATTGATGACGTTGTTTTCAATAATTTATATACCGTACCTTCATTTGCAAGCTATACATAGAGAAAATACATTGTAGGTGGAACAGACAAGTCGAAGTCGCGCCGGTTAGCGCGAAACGAAAATGTTCCCAGAAATTATTTTGACGAGTGGATGAGTAGACATGCGACGTAACAGGTGACTTTGTTTACTGGTTTAGTTTTTGTGTCTGTGGTGATTATTCTATACATAGAATATTTTTGTATACCCACAAAAATGGGTCTTTGAAATTTAGTACATCTACGTATGTAATTAAATGTACATTTTTTATTAATAAATAATTAATAATTAATTAATAAATGTGTCTTATTTAGCAAAGGAAATTAATTTATGTAATTTGGTTATTATTATTTACTGCAAATGCATACTTATATTAGATTTAATCGGTTATTGACCATGGTGGGTCAATAATGAAAGCTCAATTTCTGTAAAAAAACTTTAAAGAAATTTACCTTTCATTATTGAGCGACCATGGACAGGAAGTGATTAAATTTAATAAGTATGCATTGGCAGTAAATAATAATCGTCACTAATTCGTCACAAAACTGCAAAGCAGATTCTACCACGGATTTAGTGTCAAATTCGTCACATTATTGTGATAAAAAACATAAAGAAATTGTCACGACTTGTAGGCACGCCTTCGTGAAGATTTCGGGGGTTAAAATTAGTGCGGTTTGGCCACTGTATCAGTCACAGAATCTATAAATTTTCGGGATCACGTTGAGCTCACGACAAGTAGAAATCGTAACAAATTTTGCAACGATTTCTTCACGAGGTGTTACTTGGGATACCTTGTATACCCAGACCTAAATTAGAGTAAAGCAAAAACATAATTTTTCATTTTCCACAAAATCAGCATTAGTTTAAAAAATATCAGTTTTCGAGTTAAAAAATGCTAGACATGCCTGGCATTTTTTATAAATTATATGTATTGTCAACCTTTTGGGCCTCTAGTTTCGTTTGGGAATTAATTTAGCCAAAAGTGTTTGAATACAAATAATTGAGGTTATCTATCTGTCAGTAATTTTGTCTTATTTCGGAAAATAATAGAATATATCTGACGCGCTTAGTTTAAAAAATTATTTTTAAGATTTTGATTATTTTAAGCTGATTAGTACACGATTTTTCGGAAAACTACTATTAAATCGAGCGTCACCCTGATTTAAAGATTGCCTTCCTTCCTTCCTCCCGTAAAAAATGAACAATACGAAAACCGTAGTGCTGTTTATAAATTCCCGTACGGGAATCTATAAAAAGCAATACGGTTTTCGTATTGTTAATCTTTTACGGGAGGAAGGAAATCTATAAATCAGGCTTTACTATAGTAACAAAATCCTATAATGCGCAAACTTTAAAATTTTATTTTTGGACGCTATAATTATGCAGTTTGGACACCCCTGGCGATGTTGACGGTACAATTTATCTACCAGGTATATTTGCCCAAATTATTTTGCGGCACTGTTTGTTTATATAAACCGTACCGTTTTTATTAATAATAGGTACAATAATGGGAAGAAAGACCTCGGTCATTAGCCTTTTGGTTTATTCCAATAAAGATATTTAGTACTACTAGGCACAATAACTAATATTAATTACTATACCTTAACTTAAAGGCATACAACTCAAAACTTCAATACCTTTCCGCTTTGTTTAATAAGATTCAGTTGAACTACTTAACCATTTAACAGAATATCTGTATAAATATTAGTAATAGTAATATGATTCATATTAATTAGTATGCCTATTATTAATAAAAATGGTATTATATATTAACAAAAGGAGCCGCAATTTAATTGGGACAGATATACCTACCTAGTAGATAAAATAAATCGTTAACATCGCCAGGGGTGTCCAAACTGCGGGAATTAAAAAACTCATTTTGAATTAAAAATGTACTTTAATTTTAGTGTCACTTTGATATTTTTAATTCCACATTATTTTTGAGAATGAAATTATTTGACTGTCAATGACACTGTGACAGTAGTATTTATTTTTTATTCAATTCAATAAATCTGAATATAGAGTATCTCTGTATTCAGAGGTTAATGGCCTTTAGCTTTTTTATAAGCTATTTGGCCAGCTCATATTTATTTTTTATGATTGGCAACATCGACCTTTATAATCTGTGACCACAAAACTTCTAGTTTTGTGTCTGTGACATCGAGTGGAGTCAGAGTGGAGTAACCTCACTTTTTAATGTTTATTGTTTATGTTCATAGTGATTTTATCATAGAAATAATACTTTTTATTATTATTTCTATGATTTTTATCTTAGAAGTTGTTTCTTTTATATGTTTATATTATTTTTTTGTGATTTTGTCTATTTGTGGTTTTAAAATGTTTTACTTTAAAAACATTGACAGTAAATTATTTATTTGGTGTTAAATTGTAAGTAAACATTTTAATAATTAATTATCTGCTAATAATAATAAAAATGCTGCAGTCTTATGGAATTTCATATTTTCTTTCTAAACATTAATAGCAATAAATGTAACAATAAGGAACAACAACACAACAATCAAAAATTAATTTTAACAGCATTTACAACAGCTAACAGCTTATGCTAAAGTTAATCAGTGTTTAAATTATCTTCAATATAACCACCAACGTCCATTAAAATTGGTGATGATTTTTTGAAAGCATGCAGCAAATATATTTAATACACTCTAAAATATAGATTTTAATACATTTTATTACCTTTTTTGACAGTGATACCTTTTTATCTATACTTGCAAAAAATGAGTAAAAGGAAGTCGAGCAGTCCTCAAAAGAAGGTGAAAACGTGGTGTGAAAATGATATTAGTGGATACATTCCAGTTTTAAAAAAACAGAAATCTAAAAAAATTCCTCAAGGACCATCCTACTTATGCTGTGCTCCTACAGAACAAAATAGAGACTATTTTTTAGGAAAATTAAAAGTTGGTACCACAAATAATGTTGCTTTAGAAACACATATTACAAATTGTAAATTAAGATTTAATGAGGAGTGTAACACATTCATACTTGACAATGAATCATTCACGATAGTTGTTAATATTGATGTTGATTTTGATTTTAAAATGATTCAGGGTAAGTAGTAATATACTTGTTTACTCCAATTGTTAAATAATGCTCACACTTTTATTTTTAGAAATAATTGCTACAAAAATGTTTCCCATAGAGTTTTATTTCGAGAATAACGATGTTATAGTGTTATTTTATTTAAAAGCGATCCCATTGCCAAATTATAACAAAAAAATTTCTACATGTTTAACATTTTTAATGAAAACATGTCTGCAAATCTTTCCAGAACAAAACTGTAAGTACCAAACAGTAAATTACATAAATTTGTAGTTGTAGTTATCCATATAATATATCTATAGCAATAGACAGGGTGTCCCAAAATTCCAAGGCCATTTTTTTTAAGGAGTTATTTAAATTTTGAGCGCTTTATCGAATGTAGGTAGATTACAAGTTTGAAAGGTTCTTGTAAATGTTTGTTATTTTTTGATTTTTTTTTAGTAGAATCAAGTAATGAGAAACAAAAATGTGAGGAGGTTAAAGACGTGTTTCAAAAAATCAAACTTGTAAGAAGAAATAACTTGCCAATTAATTTAAATGCACAGCATCCTAGTTTAAGACCAACGCTACGACCTTATCAAGTTGACGCTGTTAGATGGATGATAAATAAGGAAACTAAAATCCCTAATGCAACAGGTAATGAAACTCGCCCATTTAAAAATACCTACCATATAATAGTTATTTATGTATCAAGGCAGTAAAGTCGTATTTTTTATAACGTGAGTGATAAAAAATAACTTTAATGCCGAGGTGCATATTAAATTTTATACGAAATCACATTTAATAATACTAATAATTAATATTGATGATTAAATCAAATGTCATTTGAATGTAGGAAGTGTCTACGTATACTATTTGTTGCGACGGTTATTATAGTATATATAATAATATTTTGTAATATTTTTTAATCTAATTTATAAAATTAACTTATTATTTTTATTAAACAACATTTTATGAAAGGGTCCAATCTGCTTTTTTAATATTATTTAGTTGCTGCTGAGGAGCAGTCGACACTAAAAAATCGACTATTTTTTTTTTGGAAAGTATATCGAAAATATTGTTTGGGGTGACAAAAAAAAAATATGGTGAAAGTTCATAACATTAATATTAAGAGGTCTATCATCGCAATTTTAGATTTTTTTTTCCTGAGCGAGTTTTTGTCTCAGAACTCCCAAATCATTGAGTTTAACAAAATTGACTTAAGAATATTTTTTGAAGAAAATTGAATTCTCTACAAAAAAGGTTTGATTGGAATTTCCCGTCAGATGAACCGTTTTCTTACAATCATGCCTTAAAAATTGGTATAGTTTTACAATTTGATCTTTTAACTATGGAATTTTGTAATTCAAGTAAAATCAGTACCCTGAAAAAAAACGATAAACATTCTTATGGGAAATCAAATGCTCTACAAAAAGTCTTTTATCATTTTTGGCTAAATTCACTCCATCAAAAGTTATTCAAGGTCAAAACGAAATTTTAACCTTGAATAACTTTTGATTGAGTGAATTTAGCCAAAAATGTTAAGAGGCTTTTTTTGTAAAGCATTTGATTTCCCAAAAGAATATTTATCGGTTTTTTATGGGTACTGATTTTTACTTGAATTACAAAATTCCAATTTAAAAGATCAAAATGTAAAACTATACCAATTTTTAAGGCATGATTTTAAGGAAACGGTTCATCTGACGGAAAATTTCACTTAAACCTTTTTTGTAGAGCATTTAATTTTCTTAAAAAAATATTTTCAAGTCAATTTTGTTAAACTCAATGGTTTGGGAGTTCTGAGCCTAAAACTTGCTGAGGAAAAAAAAATTAAAATTGCGATGATAGACCTCTTAATATTAATATTATGGACTCAAACTTTCACAATAATTTTTTTTTGTCAACCCAAACCATATTTTCGATATACTTTAAAAAAAAATAGTTGATATTTTTGGCCCAGTCTAATATATATGGATTATTTTAGCTGAAATTCATCCACTATGGAAATCAGTCACATTACCCTCAAAAAATATTATTTATTACAATTCATATATAGGACTTGTGGATATTGAAAAGCCGATAATTGATAGATCCTGTAATGGAGGAATATTGGCAGAAGAAATGGGGTTGGGAAAAACAGTTGAGGTTTTTGCTTGCATATTATTGAATAGAAAAATAGAAGAATGCAACGTCGAAAACGTTGAAGCACCAACTATAACAACATTTCCATTTCCCATTAAGTTACCTAAAAAAAGAACTAAAACGTACGATGAACAAAAAATGTATGTAATAAATGATGATGTAAAGGGTAATGCTAAAAATAGGAAGTCTATAAACAGGCAAGCTCTACAAAAGTATTATGAAGCTGTCTTAAAAGGTACCACCAACAGTTACAATCGAAAAGTTGAGGACCCCATGGTGCAGTGCATTTGCTCGCAACAAATTGAAGAAGACATAATAGAGTGTGTTTGTTGTGGAAAATCGCAGCACAAACAATGTATGGGATATGATGAAACTTGCGGGCCATATAAATGTTCTCAATGTTGGATGAATGAGCCAATGTTTGACGTCCCTGCAACTCTCATTATAACCCCAAGGTCGCTGAAAAAACAGTGGTGCGATGAAATTGTTAAGCACATTAGTGGAAAGTTTAGGGTGTTGAAATATGATGGATGCAGAAATTCCTCTTTGTATCCTACAAAACTTCATGAGTATGATTTGGTTATAACCACCTATAGTGTTCTGCAAACCGAACTATATTTAACGCACAATAACGAAGTATGTTTTTTTATTTGGTTTCTCTAAAGCATAAAGCATTATCTTGTTTAAGGAGAAAACATTTAGACGTAAACGAATTTATTCGCCGCCAGGAAGTCCGCTGGTAAGAGTTAATTGGTGGCGACTTTGTTTGGATGAAGCTCAAGCTGTAGACGCCCCAAACTCGATGGTATCAGAAATGAGTAAAAAACTAAGCGCCAAGTTAAGATGGGCGATCACCGGCACGCCAATGTCCAGGGATTTAACGGATGTATACGGATTAATAGAATACCTTAAAATTAGTCCGTACGATGATGTGGCAACTTGGACACACTGCCTTTACAACCCTTACGTTAGGGGAGATCACAAACCAATGTGCGAATTTTTATCAAAAGTTATGTGGCGTTCAGAGAAAAATGATGTTTTAGAGCAGGTATTTTTTCACATATTTATTGATTTAACTATTTACATACAGGGTGTTATGTAATTAATGTTATATATTAAAATACTGAATACCTTTTGACATAAGGAATAAAGGAAAAATATTTAAAAAAACATTTTTCCAAAGATAAAGAAAAAATATGCATTAGAAGTTTTTTATATTTTTTGTGATACGCCACTGGTTACACACTTGGTTTATCTCTGCACACTTGTATTTTGTTAGTACATAGATACCAACCAACAAAGTAGCTATGCGTTGCCAGATGTAAAAAAATTTTACTAAAAATTTTTCTTGCAAAAAATAAATAAAAACTCAATAAATACAAAAGTTTTATGCCCTTAAAGCTCTAATACCCTTCTGTATTTATTTACTGATCCAGCTATTAGCTTAAGCAATGATTAGAAAATTTAGTACCTTTGAAATTTGAAATCCATAACCACAAAATTAATTTTTTCATCAGTTTTTTTTCTGTTTACTCAGATGAAATTGGGACCAGTTCACAGGTTAAACTTTAAACATTTAATTTGTGTAAATAAATCCAAAAGCACTTCCCTTAGTTAAGATATTTACAATTTGAAAACATAACCTAAAATTTAAAAGAAATGCACTAGATTCTGTCATAAAAGTTGGCAGATTTTGTTTGAATTTACCTTCAGTACAAAAATGACATAACCAACAATTAATAAAAACGCCAAATTGACAATATGCATTGTTAATTTTGTCATTTTTGTAATTAAGCTAAATTTAAACAATGTTTGTCAACTTTTTTCATATACCTATTATAGGTATATGACTTTTTTGAGAGATTTTGAAAACACTGTTGTTACCAACCATAACATAATAAATCCACCAGATTAACCTAAAGTTCCTGGTCGATCAGTGGCGTACTTTTTGGTAGTATAAAGGTTATTATAAATTATTTTTAGACTTTGGAATTTAGAAAAAAAAAGTTTCAGATGCTTCTTTATGGACCCTAAGTAACAACCTATTTTAATATATAACATTAATTACATAACACCCTGTATATATTAGACTTGGCCAAAAAAATCGACTATTTTTTTTTTGGAAAGTATATCGAAAATATTGTTTGGGGTCGACTATTTTTTTTTTGGAAAGTATATCGAAAATATTGTTTGGGGTGACAAAAAAAATTATGGTGGAAGTTTGAGTCCATAATATTAATATTAAGAGGTCTATCATCGCAATTTTAGATTTTTTTTTCCTGAGCGAGTTTTTGTCTCAAAACTCCCAAATCATTGAGTTTAACAAAATTGACTTAAGAATATTTTTTGAAGAAAATTGAATGCTCTACAAAAAAGGTTTGATTGGAAGCCTTTTCTTACAATCATGCCTTAAAAATTGGTATAGTTTTACAATTTGATCTTTTAACTTTGGAATTTTGTAATTCAAGTAAAAAATCAGTACCCTGAAAAAAAACGATAAATATTCTTATGGGAAATCAAATGCTCTACAAAAAAGTCTCATTTTTGGCTAAATTCACTTCATCAAAAGTTATTCAAGGTTAAATTTGAAGTCAAAACGAAATTTTAACCTTGAATAACTTTTGATTGAGTGAATTTAGCCAAAAATGTTAAGAGGCTTTTTTGTAAAGCATTTGATTTTCCATAAGAATATTTATCGGTTTTTTATGGGTACTGATTTTTACATGAATTACAAAATTCCAATTTAAAAGATCAAAATGTAAAACTATACCAATTTTTAAGGCATGATTTTAAGGAAACGGTTCATCTGACGGAAAATTTCACTTTAACCTTTTTTGTAGAGCATTTAATTTTCTTAAAAAAAATATTTTTAAGTCAATTTTGTTAAACTCAACCTTTTAATATTAATATTATGGACTCAAACTTTCACAATAATTTTTTTTTGTCACCCCAAACCATATTTTCGATATACTTTAAAAAAATATATTTAATTTTTTTGGCCCAGTCTAATATATAGTCGTTTTTTCGCGTAAATACCATGAAATACTATGGTCATTAAACTTAACCTTGGTTAATATATACTATAGTTAAGGCATTTTTGCGTTTAGAGTGCGTTCAAAAATCCTAACTATGACGTCACAAATACCAGACCATAAAACTATATCGCTGAGCTAGTTATTCAACGTGGTTAATAGTCTTTCTCTTTTTAATATATATATTTAATATGTTTATGTAGGAATAATGTTGTGTGCTAAACATATCTTCTCCAAAACATACCGCCAACCTTCGTCTTTTTCTTTGGGGTTCCATTCTAAATTTTGAGTTTCACAATAATAATTTTCGTATAAACGTTAAACACTGTTGGATTTTAGTTATGGTAAACAACAGGGAAGAACTGTTTATATATAAAAAGAGGTATAGAAAAGGTAGGTATAAGAACTAGGGTTCATAGAAAAAGAATATACAAGGGATAAGAAGAGGCAAAGAAATTTATTTACACCTGTAAAAGCATAGAAATTAAATATAAATAAGTAAAAACACATTTCAAATATTATAGGTTATGAACAAGTACACAAATGTCAAATGTTAGAAACCTAACCATGGTTATATGAATTAACTGTGACGTCATGACTTATTTAACCGTAGTATTTCATAGTATTTACGCGAAAAAACGACTTATATGATTTTTAGATTGACATTCCTGTACAGTCTCACATTGAGCACATGTTGGAATTTTCCGCGGTGGAAAAGTTTTTTTATCAGAAAGAACACGAGATGTCCCGCGACACCTTTTTGTCGCAGCTGGAAAAGTTGGACCCCAACTCCACTTTGAGAAGTCTTAATAAAGCTACCCTTAAAAAAGTATGCGAAAAAAACGAAATTGAATGTTTTCATGACCGATTGTTTCCAGATTATGAACCCTCTATTGGCTTTAAGACAAGGTTGCACGAATCCTAATAGTACAAAGGGCAAATATTTGGCTACTAGAAAAAAATTAACGTCGATGAAAGAATTATTGGAGGCTTTGATTGTTAAAAATTTTACGGAATGCGAGGAAATGTTACGTGTTGTGATATCTGCTCTGAATGGTACCAACTGGTTACATTGTTTTATTTGGTTTACAAAAAAATTATTTTAGCACTTGCTGGCATCAACTTACTATATAAAAACACGCATGTCGCTATCGAGGAATATAGAAAAGTGTTGCAGCTGTCTGAAAATTTTAAACTTAAAGAAAATGGAGCGTTACAAGTCGATACGTTGCAATTAATCCATACCTTGCATAACTTGGCAGAAGTAATTGAAAATGCAGAAAATGTTACACCTACACTTCACGATAATACCTTAAAAATTGATTGTATTAAACAAGAAGAGAAGTATATTGGAAAATTTATAAATGAAGTAATATATTATAATTTTTAACCCATAACTATTAGGGTAATTCGTTTTGAAGGAACATTTATTTTTTGTAGCTCCCCAAGCAAAATATTGAGAGAAAACGCCCTTAAAGTTTCTCGATATTTACATCAATATTTTGCTGGGGAAGTGACAAAAAATTAATGTTCCTTCAAAACGAATCACCCTAATAACTATATAATGTTTAAGTCGGCCGGTTGCTTTAACGAATGGAACGATTTAAATAAAAAAACAATCAATTTAAAAAAAGCATTTAATCTTAAACAAGGACAATGGTACTCTGACGGTATGGACTATTTGGTCATGGGAGATTATCACAATAAGGTTATTTTAAAAATTAATAACATCTGCGAGAATATGGGCATAGAATGCCCTTTAAAGTAAATATTATAGCATAATATTTTGAATTTACATGTAATAATAATATTTTTTGTTTCAAAGGGAGAACGGTGGTAATATTTTATACATCATTGGTACTTGGGATAGAATTTTACACGAGCTAAGAGAAGAATTGATAGACAATCTCAATAGCTTGTTTACGGCAGATTTAAATGACGAAAAAGTCACTGTTATAAATATACAGAAAAATCTCGTTTCAGAGGCAATGAATTGTCACTTGAGACCCGACAAAAAAGGCAAGAAAAAAAGGTGTCAATTGTGTGAAATAGAAAAAATGTTAAAAAAGTACGAGGCGAAACTGTTTTTAAATAAAGTAAACCAACCTAGAGCTGAGAAAAAGGGGGAATCTTCTTGGCTGCCCACACTACAAGAAGTTATTCTTAAAAGTATAAAACTCTTTATGTAAATGTTACTGGTTTAATTATTTGTTTTATTAATTTTAGATGTATTTTTAAGTTTAAAGAACTCAAAAGCCAATGATGAAATTTTAAATGATGGAGAAACCCATATAAATTTAATAACAGTACTGAAAGATGAGTACAAGGTATTTCTTTAATAATAATGTTCTAAAATTTTTTTTATTTTAATACTGTTATTTAGGTAATGAGTAAATTTTGGACTCACCTTTATCAACAAGTTAGTGCTAAGGATGAGTTGGATATTTGCAAAATCCGTTTAGCTTTAAAAGATTCTGATTTGGAAGAGGATAAAAGAAGCAATGTTCTTAAAAATTTGGACTATGAATTAAAGGATAAAATAAAGCATTGCAATTTGCTTAATCCCCATGAGCTTGGTTTTCTTGAAAGTATTTATCGCATGGAAGAAAAACAAAGCCTCGCTAATTTAGAAAGAAATTTGGGTATTAAAAAGTATCTGGAAACGTTAAAAAAGCAACAATATGAAGGGCAACATCCAGACCCATGCCCAATATGCAAAAATACTTTGGAGAACCATTGGAGCATATTGCCTTGCGGCCATTCCTATTGTCTAGAATGTATACAACTGCAACTTGAAAAGGTTGTAGGTAAATATTTGCTGTGCTCAATTTGCCGTCAAAAATTTAATTTATCGGACATTTCCTATATAAAGGCAGGCGACACTGTGGATAAAATTGATACCATTGAAATAAAAGGAAATTATTCAACGAAGATAGACGCCGTCGTCAAATTGCTCATACGCCTTAAAAATAAAACGCCCGACGTAAAGGTTTTAATATTTTCATCGTGGTTGGATAATATTAAAATCATACAAGAAGCACTGAATACAAACCATATTTTAAATGAACTTATCTCTAGTACAACAACTTTGGAAGAAAAAGTTAAACATTTTAAAGTAAGTTGAAAATATTTCAAGTATTTTTATGATATGATGATTTATTTAAGGATCCATCAAAAATGTGCACGGCCTTGCTTTTACCCCTAAATCTGGGTTCAAAAGGTTTAAACCTTATTGAAGCTACTCATGTTATTTTAGCGGAACCAATTTTAAACCCACAGGATGAATTACAGGCTATTGGTAGGGTGCACCGAATAGGACAAACTAGGTAAGAAAAATATTAAGGCTAATTTTATTGATTACCAAATAACTATTTTTTAGGAAAACATTTATTCATAGATTTGTTATAAAAAATACCATTGAACAAAGTATCCATAAAGCAATTACTTCAAACAGTGAGGAGTGGGAATATAATAAGGTAATCCATTAATAAAGTTCAGACGTACATACTCATATTTAATTTTAGGTTACAATAAAACAACTTACAGAATTATTTATTCCTGATAATGAAGACAAAAAAACTTTAATACCTGATAAAAATATGCAATGTGGCCCTAGTGGTAATCGACTCGAAACTGAATCTTTAAGTGACGATTCGAATCAGGGTGATTCGAATAGTGATTCTGATTCTGGAGTTCAATAAATAATATTTACCCGGTAATGGATTTTATTCAATGTATGCCTAATGATTATAACAATAACGTTTACTACAGTATTTTTTTATATTTAATACAACTTTGGTAGGTAGGCAATCAATTTATATACATATTTTATCTTGGTTGCCTACTTACTAAATATTTGCAGCGCCATCTATTCCAGTATGGCCAAACTAAAGTAGCAAAAGTTTTTGTAGTTTTATAACATAGAGTATAGTTTTATAATTAGCTTTTTTTAAATAGATATCGCTGCTAATAATATTTTGTGGGTAGGCAACGCAGATAAACCATATTTGTAAATTGTTTGCCTGCCTACAAAATATTATTTGCTTTGCCATCTATCTAATTATGGCTGAACAAAAGTGGCAAAATTTTTATTCTTTTGTAGATAGCGCGGTTTACTTTAATTTTAATTTATTCTCCTATTCTTTCTTTTATTTAAATTATATCAATGTAAAATTAATTAACCTTAATGGTTTGTTTAGGTTTTGAATACGAGCCTAGGCGAGCTTAGACGAGCCAAAAAGATCTAAGGCGAACGAAGACTATTGTCCACACCGAACCAAAGCGAGCCTAGAGGATCCAAGACGGCGAAGACCAGCCTGTTTATTAAATAAATGTCACCTATGTTAACTTCAATAAAATAAATTATTTAAAAATTTATGAATTTTTATTTACATACCTACAATTTTTGTTGCCAGTTTTCCAAAAAAATACCAGAACAAGGTACTTTCTGAAAACATTGTCGATCTGGCAACAACGCACAATGGCCGTTTTAAGTCATTTAAATTTCCATCGTCCACCATTTTGCGACGTTGGCAGTTTGACAAAGTCTTCCATTTTGCAACGTTGCCAGATATCTCAAAATACCAGATCGAGGTACTTTCTTAAAACATTTTCGATCTGGCAACATCGCACAATGGCCGTTTTTAGTAATTTGAATTTGCATCGTTCGCCATTTTGCAACGTTGCCAGATTTACAAAGTCCGCCAATTTGCAATGTTGACAGATTTCTAAAAATACCAGATTAAGGTACTTTCTTAAAACATTGCCAATCTGGCAACATCGCACAATGGCCATTTTTAGTAATTTTAATTTGCATCGTCCACCATTTTGCAATGTTGCCAGTTTTCTTAAAAACACCAGATCAAGGTACTTTCTTAAAACATTGTCGATATGGCAACATCGCACAATGGCCGTTTTTAGTAATTTTAATTTGCATCGTCCGCCATTTTGCAACATTGCCAGATTGACAAAGTCCGCCATTTTGCTATGTTGCCAGATTTATCAAAAAATACCAGATCAAGGTTCTTTCTTAAAACATTGTCGATCTGGCAACATCGCACAATGGCTGTTTTTAGTAATTTAAATTTGCATCGTCCGCCATTTTGCAACGTTGCCAGATTGATAAAGTCCGCCATTTTGAGATGTTGACAGATTTCTCAAAAGTATCAGATCAAGGTACTTTCTTAAAACATTGTCGATCTGGAAACACCGCACAATGGACGTTTTTAGTAATGTTGCCAGTTTTCTTAAAAATACCACATCAAGGTACTTTCTTAAAACATTGTCGATATGGCAACATCGCACAATGGCCGTTTTTAGTAATTTTAATTTGCATCGTTCGCCATTTTGCCACGTTGCCAGATTTACAAAGTCCGCCATTTTGCGATGTTGCCCGATTTTTCAAAAATACCAGATCATGGTACTTTCTTAAAACATTGCCAATCTGGCAACATCGCACAATGGCCGTTTTTAGTAATTTTAATTTGCATCGTCCGCCATTTTGCAACGTTGCCAGATTGATAAAGTCCGCCATTTGTTGCCAGATTTCTCAAAAATACCAGATCAAGTTACTTTCTTAAAAACATTGTCAAAATTTAATTATTATTATTTAATTATTTAAATTTACAACGTTGCCAGATTTCCATTTTGTATCGTTAATGAGGGAAAAAATAAAACCAAAGGAATGTTTTGAAAATGTTTATTTAATTATTGTTTATTAATATAACACTTTAAACATAAACAAGAGTTTAAACGTTTGATATCAAACGTTTAAACTCTTGTCGAGTTTCTACAGGACAATCCTAAAAATAATTTTAAAAAACATTAAACACTTGAAAAAATTACCAAAAACGCTAAACTCACATTTACTAATCGTGGGAATCTTTCATGACTGAATGATTAGGTATGGAATAAAAATATTTGGTTAAATCAGTACTGATTTAACCAAATATTTTTAGTTACCTAATTAAATTTCTGGAATTTTAAACATATATAGTCTTTGCTCGTACATAATTAAAAATAATTGAAATTTTTACTTGAAAAATATAAAAACCTAAAAGTCTTAAAAAATAACCTTTGGCCTTTGCTCATAAAATCCTTAAAAATAATTATTTTTAGTTCCCAGAAGATATGAATTTTTTTTTATATCTTTGGGTACATTTAGTAAGTCATCTTGCGGTGTTATTTTTTTAAATTATATGATGCAGTTTGAAGTTTGAAGTTTTAGTTTTAATGGGTAGGAAGAAAGAAACAAAAAGCATGAAAAATTAATTATTGACATAATTTTAGGAAGTAAAAAGAACGACGGACACCTAAACCCATGGACCTCAGCATATTTAATTTTTAACAAGATCTCTGTAGTTGATTTTTTTGCCCCACAAATCATTGCTCCAAGATGGGAATGGCTTCTTAAACTCCTCCGGTTCTTGACTTTGATGCACATGTATTATGGTAACATTCCGCCTTCCTAGTTTAGCAGCATAATCCTAAGAAGTAAAAAAGTTAACAATTTTTACTGACAATGGGAGGAAACTTACTTTGGCAAGACTTCCGCATTTCGCTTTTTCATTATCGTCAGCGCCGTTGCCGATCCAAACGAAAAGCTTAACTCCATGCTCCAAAAGCATAATGTCATCTTCATACAGATCGCGTTGAGTGAAATTGAAGATCTCCTCAGTTCTGAAGCGAACTCCGCTGGCTGGAATCTGAGCGTGTATGAGCCTTGCCTCGAAGTCCGCGTCTGACACGCTGCTATCACTACGTATCAACCTCTTCTCTCTGGACCTCCACGAGCTGAAGTACTGCGTGAAAGTCCCAGTCTCGCATCCCTCCACGATTCTCTGCACGTTGGTCCACTTCGGGTAGTTCTTTGATTTGATGAACTTATCGGCAGTGGCCATCGATTCTTTTTTCTCATTAGCCGTGCACCGTTTGCCAATCCACACGAATATGCTGACGCCAGTGTCCAAAATGAAGCAATCGGAACTGTCGAGCATCGATTGCGACAAAGGTCTCTCTCCGACCTTGCTGATCTCCAAGTCGCCGGACGCGTCGCTAACACGGTAAAGAGCCACTGTGTTGACTTGGTTCTTCTCAAACTCCTGGTCATCATCGCTATCTTCGGAAACTTGGTCTTTTGAGCCACCCCCAAGAGTTTTAAAGAACTGATCGAAATCACTTGGAGGACTGTATTCATCTAAAACAATTTCTTATTAACTCTTCACACTCTCCTACTTTTCCATCTTCTATCTATATACCGTACCTTCATTTGCAAGCTATACATAGGGAAAATACATTGTAGGTGGAACAGACAAGTCGACCGGCGCGGTCAGCGCGAAACGAAAATGTTCCCAGAAATTATTTTGACGAGTGGATGAGTAGACTAACATGCGACGTAAAAGGTGACCTTGTTTACTGGCGATTAAAATTTCATTACGTCCTAATAATTTTTGAAAACTTTTTCGCTTTGCGCTGACTTCGACTTGTCTGGTCCACCTACAATGTTTTTTCCCTATGTATAGCCTGCAAATGAAGGTACGGTATATAAAAATGAATCGCCGTGCGTTAGTCCTGCAAAAAATCGGAAATGATTCAACAGATTTAAATAATTTTGTTTTGTTTTGTTCGCCTCAATGCAGGGGTGATTTAAATAAAAAATACATTAGTAAAAACCAAAAGGAACAGCCGGAAAATCGAAATTCGTGCAACTTTGGATTAATTTGAATAGATGGCGTTCGTAGCTGCGCTTCAGATTAAATGAAAAAACGTAACCACAAATTCATTCATTCAATTGTTTTAGCAAGAAAGTAGTTTAAATAGTAAAGTTCTCAATTTTTTAAATTCGTTTAAATAGTAAAGTTCTCAAGGTAAGTTTGACAGATTTGAGCGACTGTGAAAACAAATCCGTGTCGTTTTACAGTGTTCAATGAATTGGAGTTGAAAGGTTCATAAGGATAACTCTATGTATTTATAGGTAGTTTACACTTATGTTTTAACTGTAATGCCTACCCACAACAAATGTTATTAGCAGCGCCATCTTGCGTTATAATTAGTTCAGTTTTTTTAGAATAGATGTCACTTTTGGATCTAGAGCATTAAACATTTTCAGGAAGTTGGTCAAATTGTGTTATTAATCTAAAACATCCTACCGATTATTTCCACAGTGGCCTTTCCAGCATGATCCTGATCTCTAATACTGTTGGCAGCATTGATAGCCTTAATTTTCTCAGTTATTCTGCTCCTTACTCCAACATAAACCATAATCTTACTACCATCATCGAGAATAAAGCAATCGCCTTGGTTCATAGATTGTACACTTACAGGAACTTGCTTGATTCTCACATTTCTGCATCCTTTTACCTGGAACAACCTGACTTGTTTCACTTCCTTGAAATGCGTAAATCCAGAATTAATTCCTCCAGGTAGGTATCTAACTCCATTGGGAAACAACGAGAGAAAATTGTTCGACTCGTGATCTTGGACTTCGCGGTGCTGAATTGGACCACCTCCCAACTGATCATCCAATTTAATCGATAAAATTGCTGCTGCTCCTGATTCATCCTTTCAAATAAAAAAACAGTTGAACGCCATTGTACTTACTAAGGATCAGTAAACATCTTGGCTGAATTTTAAATTTATGGTACTGTGCTAACATTTTTTAAATTGGTCACTTTTTATTTAACCAATTTTGTTCAATTTCCTCCTCTAATTAGGGCCTAAACAATGCATTACCTGGGTTGTTTCAGCTCCAAGCCAGAAAAAAATATCCCAACTCTTTACACTCCTGGACGTCTAAAAAAATACCAACTTAAAAAATGCAAGTTTTAAAATATGAGTATTACTTTTAAAACGATGTAGGAATCGCCGGTGAAAAATTTCCCATAATCATTCTTTGGATATGGCACTGGTTTAAAGTTCTGAAAAAATATTAATGTACACTAAAAAAAGTGCCCTTAAACTAAAGTAGTGTCAACTCTCTTGATAAATTATTAGCGACAAGAAACAATATTTTAGCATAAGAAAAAAGTTCTTAGTGGAAGAAAACAAATACAAAATTATTTATATTTACGCAATTCATTCAAGATACATCACATGTGATATAGGTATCTTTTGAAGAAATAATTTTGGTTCTTATACCAAGAAATCACTTGCTCTTGATTTAAGCTAATACTAGTATTACAGCTGTAATATCCTTAAAGGAATAGATAAATCTCTCCCTCAAGTAATTTAAAAAAAATAAGTAAAGATAGTTTCTGATTTAGATTATGAAACATAGCTCTTGGCCCTATTCAAAAGCGCAAATCTTTTGAATCAAAGTGATTTTCATTTCTTTTAGATTATTTTTTTCAGTGTATTATTACTTTTATTAGGATTTACAACTCGTAAGTGGGTGTAAATATTGATACCATTCTGATAAGGGCCTATCGTGTTTAACAAACATAATTATTAATTAATCTTAAAATCAATGATTAAAGTTACGAAATACAATTTATTAACAACGCTTTTTAATTTAATTATAAAAATAAAAATACGTAAACAAACTACTGCGTCAGGTAATTTGGTATAGGAAGTGGGGAATTTCTGTATTTCCCACAAGAGACAGTCACATATGAATCATAATACTAAATACTAAAGGTCAAGAATTAAACATTAATATACAAGGTGAGTCAGGAGGAACGGACTAAACTCTAGACGTAAAAATAATTGACAAGCAAAGGTTGACACCCTGTATAATTAAATAAAAATATTGCTTTTAAATGTTTTACAAGTTTTTAAAGGTATAAATTTAAATAAATATACCGGCAAATTATTAAACAATCGCTTTCAGGAATTTAAACAATTTAAAAATAAAAATAATAAAATCTAAAAATTATTTTCACTCACCTCCATTCTCCATATTTCAATACCTTCTTTTTTTCCTGAACTCGCAAACGCTGGTTCCATAATAATGTTTTAACAAATTAAATTTAGACGCGCTACCTTAAAAATCTTATTAACAATAATACACTTTCAAACCATTTCACTAAACGTTGTTTTGTACGTTGTGCGCGTGCACCTCCCACCTTATTGTTAAAACAGATAACGACACCGCGAAATTAATAACAGAGATTTTCTACTGATTAAAAACGTGCTTATATGTTGTAACCCACTTACCGTTTAGGATATTATTGATGATATTATATGATACATCAGATCTAACAGGACAAACATTTGCAAAATAATACTATACAAATTTATATCTATATATTTTTTTTCTGGAAACCGGCAATCCATTTAATATGTTAACATCTCATGTATATATATATTTATACAAATATATATTAGAGAAACCAATTTTTTGATATCATAAGTCAAAAAAATAATATTAGATTAGACCCTAATATATATGTATATATAATTCTTTATTTTTATTATATGGGAGTTTAGTTAGGCCAGGATAACATATAACATATGTATTCTTTTGGTTTTTTTGCGGAAGGACAATGGAACATTTATTACTAATCTATTTTTTGTAATTTTACAAGGCATCCAATGACAATCATCCTGTATATTATGGACACCTTGTATCAGTAAGGCTTTAAATGTTAACAAATAGAAGTTTTATAGTACTTAATATTATACATTTAAAGCCCTATAATATAATAAATCTAATGATATTTTATTGTAAATAAATATAAATAAATATGTATAAAATAAATAAATTTAAGTACCATATCGAATTTTTAAGTTTTACCCGGTCAAAAAATGTTTAAATTAAATATTAAAAGTCCCAATATTTTGGCTTGTCAATGTACAAGCTAAATAAATAATATTTCCACACTCAATATCTCTAGGTAAACCTTAAAAAGGCTGATATTATTCCCACAACAGGATTCATAAGAACATGTTTTTTATTTCACCATTTTTCTCGAAAATTTCTCTCAAAATACTACGACTACCGACGAAATAAAATATCATTGAGACGCCCTGTATATAGGGCCTCATAAATAACATCTGTAAAAATATACTATAAGTCTTGACATTTTAGTTGAACACCTTATACATTAAAATGTTTTTCTCCGATATATATATTACAATTAACAACAATATACAATATACACACTCATATTGTATAGACGGTTACCATTTAAACATTCTGTGTAAATTGCTCGAGCTTTTTTTAATATTAAAGCGCGCGCAGAATTGTGCTTGTAACCTTTTGACCTTAATAAGATTAGTTTAATATAAAAAACGCTCGGGCAATTTTATCGATCGGCTGCGAAATACTTTTACGGAATGTTTAAATGCATATTATTGACATTTAAAGCCTTTGAAACACTTTAAAGTAGCCAGTATTTTTGGGTGTTTTAAAAGCGATTTTTTTATATAAAGAGAAAAATATCTACATATATCGCAGGATAAAATAATGTGTTATTTGAAGGTTTTATTTACAGAATTTTTATTTCAGGATGTTAAATGCATAGAAAAAAAGAATATCGCTTTTTTTAAAACACCCTAGTATACATTCTGTCAAAAAGTATTTAACAAAACATTATTCAAAATTATTATTTGGACAAATTTTGACAGAATCTATAAAAAAATCATATTTAGTCATTCTTTCCCAAAGAACAACATTTTTGCGTACATCCAAAATCCTTTTTGTCCCATTGGATATTGATAACACAAAAACAATTGAAATAGAACAGTCAATCTGTCGAAAAAAGGGCTGTTTTTTTGCTCACCAAATTTTCTTCTAAAACTTATCGTTTTCAAGAAAATGAAATCAATAAAATACCAAAAAAAAACTTTTACATATTGACTGTACACCATTGTTTGTACTAAAATCTTAATGCACTTAGAACAATATTGCCATACTTAATAATATTATTAATAATTTCAAATAATTTTCCCGTCAAAATACAAGGCGTTTGGAGTTCATTAATTTAATCATTTAATATTTGCCTAATTGATTTATTGAGTAATTAATGCAAAACACCCTGTACTTTGGTTCATATAAATTAATAAACCGACACTTTATAATTTATCCATATATTATATACTTTAAGGTTATATACATGTATTGTAAGCTTTACCTTAAAGCAGGGACGGATTTAAGCATAAAAATTAAATTTAATTAACTCTCAATGTTTGTTCTTTTCATCAAATTCTAAATACTGAACGTAATTTTTTTATAATTTAATAATAAAATTTAAACGCTTATTTTTTAAGTTTTCAATTAGATAATCTTAAATCCGGACCTGCCTTAGAGTATATAAAACACAACATGTGGATCCTCATTAGTGTCTAAAAAAACGACTATTTTTTTTTCAAAGAAGTTATGATCTCTTAATATTAATATTTAGAGGTGGCGTTTTGTAATTTTCTATTTCCCATTTAAATAAAATATTAATTCACTCACTGGCAAAATAATCGATCCACACAAATTTTCGATGAATTTCAATCGCAAATAATTTTTTTATTTGATTTCGGATTTAAACAAATATTAAAGAATATTGTAGATACATTAATGGAGAATAGCTCACATTTTAAAAATTACTAAAAAATACACGTACGTTTATAATATACAGGTTTAAACAAAAAGATGTTTTTTACCATAAGTTTAAGACACTCTGTAGAGTGGCAAAACCGTATATTGTTCTAAATAAGTTTTAATTATCAAGTCACATCTATTTTTAACAGTTTTGTTTTTGGTTCACCTTGATATATTTATTTTTGTGGAAAATATGGATTTTTTTTAAAAAACATTGCAATTTCCAATATTTTTCCTGTATGAATAAATAAGGTTGCTATGGTCCATCCATAGCCTATGGAGGATGACAGTGACAGTTTTGTTGAATCATCCCATACTTGGACATGTCATATACAGCTTTCAAAAGCTATCAAATTTTTTTTTGTAAATTAATGTGTTAATTTTGAGGTGTCTTCTTACTTTTAAAAATGTCTCCGACTGATGTTGCCCTTTGTACTTTACTTCTTGTGACGTTTAAAACACTTGCCACGTAATACTGTGACCGTCTATCCTGGATTAAATTAATGGCTCTGGCAACATCAGTCGGAGACATATCCATTTTTTTAAGTGAGAAGACACCTCAAAATGTAAACATTAATTTTCAAAAAACAATTTGATAGCTTTAACAAAACTGTCACTGTCATTCTCCATAGCATATGGATGGACCATAGTAACCTTAGTTCTTCATACCGAAAAATATTGGAAATTGCTGATGTTTTTTTTAAAAATCCATATTTTCCACAAAAATAAATATATCGAGGTGAACCAAAAACAAAACTGTTAAGAATAGATGTGACTTGATAAATAAAACTTAATTTAGAACAATATATGGTTTTGCCACTCTACAGAGTGTCTTAAACTTATGGTAAAAAACATCTTTTTGTTTAAACCTGTATATTATAAACGTACGTCTATTTTTTAGTAATTTTTTAAAATGTGAGCGATTGTCCATTAATTTATCTACAATATTCTTTAATATTCGTTTAAATCCGACATCAAATAAAAAAGTTATTTGCGATTGAAGCTCATCGAAAATTTGTGTGGATTGATTATTTTGCCTGTGAGTGTATTAAGAGCTCATATTTTCACAGGGTGGTTTTCTAGAGATACTCTGACGATTTTTTAATGTTCTTTGAAAAAAAAATAGTCGGTATTTTTTAGACACTCTAATAATCCTCATGTGAAATTTTCAATTCCTACCTTTTTTCAATTCAATAAAAACCCGCAAATCAAGTTTTATATATAAAAAAAAATGCTTTAACTTGTAGATCTACAGGATGGATATTGTTTTTTTTTACTTGGAGTAAAAAAAAACAAATAATGTCCTGGATACAGCAAAAATCAATAAATAAATAAATAACTAAATAAAAAATTATTTGTTGCCTTTGAGTTTTTTTATGGTTCTGTGATAGTGCGTTTGTACTTTGGTGAGGTTGTAGATGTTGCAGCCGTTCGGGTTTTTGCAATTGTCGGTCGTGCAGCCGCAAGGGAAATTCGCGCGTTCGATTTGACAAGGTATTTCGGCCAAAATGCACGAGCAAACGTCGGGGTCGCAGTAATCGCGACACTCACAGCCACAAATTTCTCTCGAATTTCTTATGAAGTTGCAGTCGTCTTTCTCTTCGTCGTCGATATCCTCGACTCCGGCCTCCTGAGAATAAAGATTAGGATTTAGCTTCCCCAGCGCCATCTATGAGCTTAAAATTGAACTATATACGCATAATCCCCGTGGTAGAAAAATCGTTCATTTGCTAAAATAAACCTACTCACCTTTAAAAGCAACAAACGTTCATTGATTCCAATCGGCTGCAGACACTGCGGCGATTGCATGAACATGGAAGACTTATCACAGAAGAGCTGGTTATTATGACTAGATATGTTGAATTTTTCACGATAGACTCGATGCAACTTTTTCTTCTCGTAATCGTCTATCGTGAAGTGATCAATGCTGCAATGTCTTTTGGCCATTCCCAACGTCAAATCGCCTTTGCTTGGAATACAACTGTGGCCCTGTTGCCTTGGAAACGACAGCTCTGTCACGTTTCCTACAACAAAAAAAGTTACTTTCAGGAAGTAATTAAACTCTCTGTGGAGAACATTTCCATCTGCTTGTATGCCTAAATTCACAAACTTAAATAAAAAATACTTGCCAAATCGCACAGCTCGTTTTTTCATTGACTTGTTGTTTTCCCTTGAGTGCATCATCCCTTTCCTTTTGATTAGATTACTTCGAAAACGTTCGCAAAATTAAGCTGAAAATGTAGTTTAAATTACTCCGTGCAACAAATTTCCGGTGACCAATTTTAAACAGTATTTCAATGATTTAACTATTTAAAGTTAGCTCAATTTTTTTATGGCCTTTGGTGTTGTTTTAAATTTAAATATGTCGATATTAACTTAAAACTAAATTTGATTGTTCATAAATAGTATATTATGTATCAAGTTTGATAAACGCCATTTTATACACGAATTTAGTTTAGGCACGAGCGAGCTTGCGAGCGAGTGCTTAAATTAATGAGTGTATAGAAAAGTTTATAAACGAGGTGCATACTATACTTTTTCTACGACAAATACTTATTATTATCTTAAAATGATTTAAATCAAAAATTTCTATAGAGCGCCATCTATGAAACAATTGGGGAATCTGTGTGTCACCGTTAAAATTAAAATTTTTATTATAAAGGTTATAATTCGAAATGTTTTTCTTGAAAATTGACAGTTTTTTAGAGTGAAAGTAAAGAAAATGTTTTATGAGCACTTTACAGTGGAGTCCGTGCCCGAATTTAAGTTAAATTAAAAGGTTAGTACAATGTTCATATAAACTGTTCAAATATTGGCGTTGAGAAACTATTTAATACTTTTCTATTTTTGTATTGAGATAATAAAATAGTTTTCACATTTAGTATTATTTTACAAGAAAGGCAATTTATTTTAACAATTGTCTGACATTTGACAACTGTCAACTAACTTAAAACTAACTTCAGCCCATGACTAAAAACCTGTTGCTAACTTCAGCCCGTGACTAAAGCGCCATAAAGCTACAACTTTAACCTTTAAGTAACAAAATGTAAATGTAAATAAAGAAAACACTTACTTTTTAAATTTACTTCATCATATTATTCCAGAATACTGTATAGGATGAAATGAGTCTTATATTTGTTTGCACAGATACCATATTACTGTTTCATCAATAAAATTAACACCTACAACATGTTGAGTAAGGTAATGGCTTTTAATGTGCAGAAATAATCCAATTATAAAACATGGAAATAGATTTTATTGACATGTGGTGGACAATATAAGTATTTCATTGTAATCTTAAGGAGTGTGTGTGTGATATTTCTATTCTCTGTCAAATTATTATGCCAATTTGAAAAAATTCTCTGTGCGCATGCCCGCGCCACTTTTATTAAAATTAAATCACAAAATGATTTTTTTCTTCGGCTATGAGCTCAAGTGATATAGGTACCTATTATTTGCTACAAATATTAACCCAATCAATATCAAATTTTATATTATTCATATTTGGCAAAAACTTTTGCTTTATTTTTTCAACATATTTCACTAGAGTCACAATTTAGAGAATTTGTTGAGTCTTCAATTCATGAACTGTATTTAAAAACATATTTATACACATAATTTACCTACAAAGGTTAGGTTATAAAGCAATCAAACCATGACTTATATTGAGCCACCCTGTATATAAATTATCTTTGTTGCATTTTCCAGGAAGTATATTGGAAAATATGTTACAGAAATGATCAATCAATTAAACTAAAACAAAGATACAACAGCTACAAACACATAACCTACCGTTTTCCTCGTTCATTTCGAATTAGAATATTATTGTTTCCATACTAAACACATGTTTTTTATGTAATAAATACTTAAAATTAGCAAAGAATAATCTACACCAACTTGTAAATAACAATAAAGGTGACGTCTGTCAAACATTGGTTGTGTTGGCGACACTGCTGAAACCCGGGCAAAGGAAACTGAAAATATCCTCGGGATCTAATAAAATTTAATTAACACCACTTTAAATTACATAATTTTCTTTTTAATTACCTCAAAGCTAATATTTATCTAGTTAAATGAAAAAAAATGTAAAAATTGTAGGTAAGCGTCCGAGCGCTTTACGTAAAATTGTATAAATGAGATAATAAGATGGTTCGTACACGAGCGTCTTACGTAAAATTTTTAAGGTTGCGTAGACGAGAAATTTGGGGACGCTGAATTTAAAATTTTAATTATATGGATAAATTTAGCACATTTTATTAAAAACAGACAAAACTTGTTAATTTACATTATGTTACATGTAACTTCTTATACATATAAATATAATTAGTAAAAATATACATTTAGAGGTTGATTGAAAAAATACCAGTAGTTTATTTGATAATTTATTAAATAAGCTTTATATACAAAAGTAACTAAAATTAAGCACATTTCGTAAAATTCTAAAATAACTTATTGTTATGGTGGTTAAAATAAATAAAGATAGCACCCAAGCCTTTATAAACGGGAAGTTGTGTGAATGATACCCAATATTTAGCCACATTTAAAAGTATTTCCTTAATTGGATTTAGTCGGAATATAGAAATGAATAAATAAATACTGTGTTGTGAATAAATAATGATTTTTATTTATTACTTGTAACTTTAGCGGTAGGTTAAAATTATAAGTAATACGTCAGTTTTAAATGTGGCGCCGAAATCAACTTAAATAAATAAATATTAACGCTAAACAATTTATCTAACTATAGCAAAAACATTACAATCTCGTTTAAGCCGCACTTTTAAATAACCTTAAATCTATGATACATAATACGCATACTTATAAATATTGATAAATAAATTCGGTTATACGTTTTATTGGCTATTTGTTTCAAACAACCAAAACATCACAATCGTTTAATCCCACAATACGGACTCGGCCAGTTCGGCCGCTTGTTTCCATGGAAACGGCGGATTTTCCAACGACGCCCTCGATTTTCTCAGCGGACGACCTCTACGTTTACCATCCACACACATCATACCGTAAACTCGAATTCCGGGCACGCTGGCGTATGTCGGCTGATCGTGTGACATCGGTCCCTCTAAAAAAATACATGAGCGTGATTGTAGGCAACACAGATTACACGAACGACAATCGGAGTTGCCTACACATTACATACAAAACTTACCTAGGACACTGCTGTCGGGGCATCGGCAGATTACCAGATAATGGGACTTTCCAGTCCTGATGTTTTGCAGAGCCAAAAGTGACCAATCGCGTGGGGAACGACAAACCCTCATTTCAGCTGTGGGCTCGCAGGTTTTCACCAGTGTCAGAGCTTTCTATAAATAAAAGAAAAACTGTTTTTGACTGCGCCATTAATAAGAATTATCTAAACTAATCTGGTAGCGCTAAGAAAAGATGTTTCTTACAGAACAAAAGTGCCAATTATTTTTGATCCATGAAACAATATAGAAGGCAGAAAAGTAGCTAAGGAAATGCATATGTTGGCTGTGCTACTGCCCATCTGGCGAACAAAACGATAAAATTAATTTAAAAGTCAAATCGCTTTGAATGCCATTATACGTTTTCATAATTCTGTTCGACGCGCATAGCGGCATATTCTTAAGATGAAATCAAATCAAATCCCAAGGCAATCTAACAATACCATTATTCCGTGAGCATCAGCGAAAAAATCGCCACACGGGCATTTCTTAAACGGCAATTTACTACTTTAGGCTATTTCCGATCGAAACACATTATATACAGTAAATTCAATTAAACCATAACGTAATACAGGGCGATTCGTTTTGTTTGTTGCTCGGCAGCATAAATCGTAATTGGATGTCAGTATGTTTCGAGGTAGCTCAGGTTCGCGTAACCTCAACGAGATAAATGCTAGTCCATGGTCGGCTTGCCGCTGTAATAGCCCGCACAACAGTCCGGATAAAATTGACCCAAACGGCCTTTTTAACACACTGACACCTGGGACTTGAGTATACCTACTTCTTTCATATTATATACCATTAAATAAAGTATCCCTCGGACAGATATGTTTAATACATGGTGTTCTGAATCACATTTGAATTAATTTCTTTAAACAGTGTCACCATTGTGGTAAGACGGCGTCTGTCTTTTTGTGGCCCTGCATTCCTTCCAACTTGTTCGTGCAGCTATATGATCAATTGTGTTTGGCATTATTATAATATTTGCGGATTCGGTCACGAAAATACGTGTTTGCTTACCTTGGATTTTTTATCGGTCATGAGTTCCGTAGTATGTTGATCATCGGAGTTTAGGGATGCAGAGCAGGGGTCCCTGTATCTCGAGGGGCAGGCGCACAGGGGCTGAGTCCAGTTCAGTCTCACGTAGACGGCATTACACACCTACAAATTTTTTTATCATTTTTACCATTTCTTTTCTAAACAAATATTAGAAATATTCCTGTAACTGTGTTACACTTCGCTTCTGAAGATGCCCACACGCATTGGCGAAAAGTACTTTAAGTAAGCAGGGCCGGCGTTAGCTTATTAGAGGCCAGGTGCAAAAGAAAAATGCGGGGCTTGAACTAAGAATTTACTCTTGAAAATTAATAAACCAATAAAACATCAAACAAAAACCAATTAAAGGGATTAGAGCTAAAACCGCATTTTTAAGTCAAAATTTTTTAAGCGTGTTACCGGATAGTAGAAAATTTTGACTTAAAAATGCACTTGGGTGGTTCAGCTTCTCCCTTCAATTAATATAGAAATTAACGTTTAAGAAAAAATCACACATAATTTTTCCCTGCTTTAGCGGAAGCTCTTTTCCAACATCCTCTGTTGAAAATGTAGCCAAACCCACTAGTCGTTCTTGGCACATACCTTGTTGATCTTAAATATTTATTTATTAATTTTAATTTTGAAAAACTCTTTTCCCGGCGTAATAGCAACGGAAACAGGCAACTTCAAATACACATTTAGCAACTTTGAACTGAATGATAATAGATGACGATACTTACTAAAGATATTATCTCTGGCAATGACCAGATATTATTTTGTCACGCTGTGCTTACAACTTGCCATGTTGCTATATAACGAAATTATTGTACATTATAATGTACAATAATTTCGTTAAGACGCCTTGGTGCGCGCGGGGCCTATAAAACGCGGGGCCGGGTGCAACCGCACCGTTTGCACATGCCTCACGCCGGCACTGACTTTAAGCACTTTGTTTTAGTGTTGGGGAAGTTGCCCTTTTTCAAGTATTTTGCTTGAATCATCAAAATCATTTTGCCCATTAACTTACCTGCTGAATGGCACACTCTGGTAGAAGATATATGTGCTGATTGTGCGGATAGTAGTGGTATTTAGTGGGTTTGACAAGTGCGGCACTAGCTCCGGCAGGAAGAGGCAGCAGGTTCTAAAACAGCAAAAATAAACTCTATAAGTCGTCGTAATTTCAATCAACTGTTGCTTCGTTACTTGTTCCTTTTCCGTTTGAAAATAGGCAATCTATAGCATAGGCATGTTACGATACAAATGATTTATTACTTTTAAAATTCTTTACGGCGCCATTATGTTTCAATTTATTAACTGATTGTTTTTTAATGCGGTTATTTAAATCTAGTTTATTGCTCAAATTTTTCGAAAATAAACCAACTAAATAGTTATTTTTGTATCAATCACTTTTTATCACGAATGTGGAAATCCGAGGCAAATAACCACGTGACTGATAAAAAATGACTTTAATGCCAAGGTGCATATTAAATTTTATCCGAAATCACATTTAATAATACTAATAATTAATATTGATGATCAAATCAAATGTCATTTGAATGTAGGAAGTGTCTACGTATACTGTTTGTTGCGACGGTTATGATATATTTTCCACAACATTTTATGAAAGTAGACACTTCTTAAAATGTATAATGGGTTGCATACAATACTCGTATTAATTCGGCAGTAAAGTGCTACTTTACTGCCGATTTCGGATAAAAGTTGTTTTGGTTGGTCAATACTTTTTTTAAAACATTTTTATACATACTGCTACAACTAAATCGAGCCGGTATAACTTGATTTTTCTTAACCTCCTTGGGGATAAAATGTAAAAAAACCGTGGGTTTTAGATGGTTACTAAATAAGTACAGTTAAGTAAATCAGGATGATGTAATTTGGATAAAAAGAACAACGGGTCAGATCTGGTTTTTGTAACAATGAGATTCGTTGTTATTTCGTGCGTACGTTAATCTATTGAATAACAATTATCTTTTAATTAATTGAATGTGCTTGATAGAAAATCTTAAGCATTATGACGTTATGAACTTCGGAATGTGGCCGATTTTAGAAGTTATTTAGTCTATTTCTTCGAGTAAACGTAGTCGTGTTAAAGTGATTACATAAAATTATTCAAAACAATGGATTTCGTGACAAATCGAAGTTTTAAACAATACCACAAACATCTGCAACTATCTTATTTATTTCAAGAATTTTTTGGCTTCAGCCATCGAACAAGTTTTTCAGCAATTAAACGATCAAGGATGCTAAAAATATGATAAATGATAAGAAGGCTTCACGCTTGGGATGGTTTTGCCATATACTTACCATATGGGTTTTGCATATATTCGGGCAGCACGTGATTACATATAGGCTGTACGATATGGCACGCCGCATGCGCTATAGAAAGAATCAGCGAAATGTCAAGGACGACTAACTCACGATATTTCTTTCTTCCCGACCAATGCGATCCCTTTTGGACATTTGTTTTAATTCGAGAAGGGTGTTGTTGAAGAACGGAAGTGTCCATCAGGTGGATGAGCAATTTCTCAAAGCCCTTTTGGCGCTGAAGAAAATGCAGATAAATTTTGTTCTGCCATTAATTAAAGACTGAAAATTAAAACTTAAGTATTACGTTACAGGTGCTTGCAACCCATTAAAAGCGGTTCTGTGTGGTCTGCTTGAAAAAATAAAAATCGTTCAATAATTCGCAATGCTCATTGAAATCTGTGTTTGCTGAGGAACAATTAAAATTCAAGATGCAGCGTGTTTACATTGCCTAAGCCATCGAGAATTACCTTGTCATAGGTCAAGAAAACTCGAGTTCGCAAACGTACCGATTTTGATGGCTGCTCAACTAATAAATCAAACAAGATTTATATCATCTTTGTTGTTCATTGCATGGATGGTAATTGCCAGACCTAAGCAACTCTCCTTTAATTACATTTATTAATTAGAAACTCCGGTAAAAATTTATTTACTCTGTTGCTTCTAAGCAAGATGCTTTAATTACTCCCTGTCAATACTTTATAGTATACAGAGTGAGTCATTTAACTTGAAAACATTTTTTCATATTTGTAATAGATGGCGCTGTAATGAAAAAAATCATTTTATTTTATTTTTCTTCTGTATACGAATCTGCAATAATTTTTCTATAAAAATATCACTTTTTTTGGTAGTAATTATCTTACTAAATTAAATCTGATTTTTTGAAGTACCCACGATTTTTTAACTAATATTTAAGTTTTACACATTATTTCATTCTGTATTAATTATCAATTGCGCACCATGGTTACTTTTTACCTGCCAGCATTAAATCCTTTAATTTAAAGGATTATTGTACTATTTTTAATAAAAATACCTCATTTAAGGTAAAAAAAAACATTATTTTGTCAATTAATTCATTTAATCCTAATTGAGCTATAAAAAAATAGTATTTAGTTATAAATAATAATTAGCATTATTTAATCAATTTAGTTCGAAGATTAATTTGCAAACAAAAAGACCTCCTTTCGTTAAGCAGTTATTTATAATGGATTTTTTAACAGTGAAAGAAAAAATAGAAATGATTTTGATTTATAGAGAAGCAGGCAGGAATCTTGATGATGTTAATATCAACGCTCAGCGTTTTCCGGAAAAAATTCGATCACGTACTTCATTTCACCGTACAGTCAAGCAGTTTACTACAAACGGGAGTGTTCAACCGAAAAAAAGAGTTTGTCTTAATTAATTTAACTAAAATTTAACAAATAAATAAATAAATTTAAAAAATAAAACCAAGTATTTTATTAAAAAATTATTGGAGAATCGTATACAGAAGAAAAATCGAACAAAATTGTTTTTTTTCATTACAAATATGAAAAAATGTTTTAGACAAAATCTACCTATTTTAAGTCAAATCTGCAATCAAAAATAGGGTGTTCCATTCAGGGCCGGATTAAGAGTTTTGAGGCCCTGGGGCCGACATTTGGTGGGGGCCCTCAATATTTCTAAAAAAATTGACACTTTAAAACTCATGGTAAATTTTTAAGCTAGAGGAATTTTACGTGATTTTTTATTATCCTTGAATCATTTATTATTTAATAAACCATATAAATTTTTCATAAAATCGGCCAAAGCGTTTTTAAGCTATAAATAAAAAACTAATTTTTTTTAAACGAAAAACCCTGTATCTCGATAATGAAGCATTTTCGGACACGTGTTTATAGGAACTTTTTTTCATATTTTGATGAGAGGAATTTCCCCTGAGCTTTTGTCACCACAAGTCTGAATCACCCTGTATATTTTGAATAATACGAACATAACCATATACATTTTACCCAAGTCTGAGAAATTATTAATTCGTATGCAAAACTATAAAAACGTAGATAGTAGAATAGAATTGTGAATGAAAGTGTTTTTATAATATATATAGGTATATTATACCTACTTTATATTTTATATATTTTGAATAATACGAACATAACCTTATACATATATATTATATTTTACTCAAGTAAAATATAAATTGATCTATGTTTTGTTTGTATTTTTAATACTTACCGCAAACTGAAAAAAAGTGCATCAAAAGTCGTATTATTTGTCTGTTTTTCATACAAAATCAATAATAATAAAACAATGTTTTGTCCAAAGAAAAGCACGAAACATTATTTTGAAAACACCGGAAAATATTCCACAACATTCCAATGTACCAATAAAAATCTGGGACAAAAACTAACTTTAATATTAGATTATAAGTAATTGCCTGTTTGCCTGTATTTACAAAAACGTTACGAAAAGCAGTGCTTTAGTACTAAAGGAGCAATTGTTTTGAGTCATAACTTATGACTATAGACTACATAAAAACGTGTTCGCGCGCCAAAACTTTGAGTGTGATAGTTTACATCCTGATTTGCAAACGGATAAGCGATAAAAAATCCGCGAAAAATTAGAGTTAGATCTACGAAAAATTAATTAAAAATTACAGAATTCGCGCGGTATAACCGACCCAATTTTTTGTTTTTTCGCTAATTTTTTTCATATTCGTTTAATTAAAAAGCTACATATTGCATTGGTGGGGGCCCCTAAATGGTGGGGGCCCTGGGGCCGTGGCCCCGCTGGCCCCGTCCTAAATCCGGCCCTGGTTCCATTGGAAAGTACTGATTGATTTAAATTCCCCCCTCGAACCATTTAATTTATACCCTGTATATTATGTATAAAGTTTGAGAAATGCCATTTTAGTTACGAGTTTTATTAGGCACGAGCGAAGCTTGCGAGCGAGTGTTTAATAAAAACGAGTGCCTGGAGAAGTTTATAAAACGAGTTGCATACTATACTTTATCTACGACGAACACAAATAAGAATTTAAAGCCAATTTTATTTGTTAAAAATTTGACATCTGTCGACTGTTAGCGGATTTAATCTCGCTTTTTTCCAATTTATAATAATGCTAACTTCAGCCCGTGACTAAAATGCCCAAAAGCCACTGATCCTAACTTCAGCCCGTGACTAAAACGCCATAATGTCGCAGATTATTATCAATGGGGGAGTGATAAACGCCATTTTATACACGAATTTAATTTAGGCACGAGCGAGCTTGCGAGCGAGTGCTTAAATTAATGAGTGTATAGAAAATTTTATAAACGAGGTGCATACTATACTTTTTCTACGACAAATACTTATTATTATCTTAAAATGATTTAAATCAAAAATTTGTATAGAGCGCCATCTATGAAACAATAGGGGAATCTGTGTGTCACCGTCAAATGTCAAATTTTTATATTATAAAGGTTATAAATCAAAATGTATTTCTTGAAAATTGACAGTTTTTCACTGTGAAATGAGCACTTTAATTAAAAGGTCAGTACAATGTTCATATAAACTTTTCAAATATTGGCGTTGAAAAACTATTTAATACTTTTGTATTTTTGTATTAAGATAATAAAATAATTTTCACATTTAGTATTATTTTACAAGAAAGGCACTTTATTTTAACGATTGTATGACATTTGACAACTGTCAACTAACTTTAAACTAACTTCAGCCCGTGACTAAAAACCTGTTGCTAACTTCAGCCCGTAACTAAAACGCCATAAAGCCACAACTTGTCAATGTGTATTTAAAGGGTCACTTAGTGTCATGGAAACATGTAGGTACGATAAAGGGCGT